TTGAAAAACCTCTTCACTAACGAACCTGTTGAAATACAGACTCACCCGTTGATTGAATGCATGAAGCCCACAAGGAAAAGCCGCTGTAAGTCACACTTCCGTCTGACGTGAATTTCAGCCACATTTGATCTCCAGAAGAGATCAGATCAGGTGCTTGTTTAAATCCGTGCCAAACGAAAAACTCGCCGCTGGCAATATCGCCACCATCACCAGCCCGGAAATAATCGAAATATCGCTCGGTTCTATAACTGGAGAAGGTGACAAGAACCTTCTGGCCCTCTTCACACTTGATGATCCAAGTCATGTTGACGTTGTTGGGATAGTTGCTTGGATAAAAAGGTGAGGTTATCTGAACACTGTTGCTTCCATTGACGATATAGAAGATGCTTTCTGCTGAAGAAGAAAGTTTTTAGAAGACTTATTGATTAGGTGAGTGCACGAAATGCATCAAAATACATTCTTAAGACATGCTCAAATCGACCATCATCCATCATTATCCGTTCAACAGCTCGGTGCAACAGCGTATTTAATTACACCTACATGTATGTCAGATTCATGTTGAGCCAAGTCAAGCTTTACCATACATTTCACTTAATTAAAAAGTTTACTACTTTTCAGCTTGATGGAAATCCATATTTAGGACTAAAAGCACTTCTTTCCTCTCAGTTGAATTTGATATCCAGAGTAAAACAAGTGTCTCAATCCATCTGAGAGTTTGTTTTTTAACAGTTAGTATTTTCTCTGTGTTTTCGTTGTCCTGTAATATGCATGTCTAGGAAAAGACACAAAATTCTTAATTCTTTTTTAAGGTCAAGATGTAATCATTACACTGAAAATCTGGAGAGTAAAACTGTTGAAAAAATACCGTAAATGGAGATAAATATTGAGATTGGAAAACCAACCTGGGCTGGTGAAATTCTGTGGCAGGCTGGTGAAATTCTGTGGCAGGCTGGTGAAATTCTGTTGCAGGCTGGTGAAATTCTGTGGCGCTTCGGTTGTCCCATAATCTTGAAGAGTTAAGAGTAGGCCAAACAGTTTAATATCACTGTTTCATTTATCAAGTGATCAAAACACAAAGGACAACTACAACGAAAAAGACGTCTGAAAAGCAACACACTTCAGAAAACTGAAAGGGGACAACGGAAAGTTTGGGGGTTTGGGGAAATTTGCATTCATGTTTCAGGTATTGCTCCTTCAATTATAGCCAAGCGAGGAAATCAATCACGAATTGTCAATAATTCAACAGGTGAGCTGGTGGAGTTATGAAGACACGACTTGCACTAATGAGCCAATAATTGATGATGCTTGGGGCTTCTGTGAATAAGCACTTTTTAGGAATTTTGGGGGATTTAGTATGGTGCTTTATTACCGCAGTAGAGTTCATCACTACCGTAGGGGCAATCCCAATTCCCATTACACCTCCAGGAACTAGGGATGGACGTCCAGTCGTTACAGTAAAAATAGCTTGGAGTTGAGGTCTCGGGTTCTGTAACAAAATTAAAAATGCAGAGAGTTTCTCCTACCATGAGAAATGTTCAAACCTAACTAAACACTAAATCAGGTGGGTTGTGGGTCTTTGTGGTGTTTGGAGGGGCCACCAATCTGTGAAAATAACGGAGGGGTGGCAAAAACGCGATTGTCTAGCTGATTTTACTCCGGGAAAGTGACGAGTTAAATTAAAAACGGTTTCTAATCTCTCATGGAACATCAGTAGTCCTGCTTTCCTACTTTTAACCATCACAATGAATAAAATAAGTGATAGCTAATTCAATAACAAAATATCTTTAAAGATGCCCTGGGAAAGGAACATTGCAAAGAATATTCCAAAAGGTTTGTAAAGCTATGTTTTTTAACAAAACAAAAGAAAATTACAAACATGATTGTCAAGTTTTCAACGTCATTACCAAGACTACTGCAATAGGCTTCATCACTTCCATTGATACAGTCTGTCTGATAATCACATCGCCAAGATCCATTGATGCATACAGAATGTCCACAATCAAACTCATTCCCTCCACAAATCAGATTCTCTGAAATAAAAGACAGTTTAATTACATTAAACATGTAATGGTTTGGGTCATGTAAATCTCCTGTGTGTCTGAGTGTATAGACGGTTTTTGGGGTCAGATGTTGACCTATGTAGGTACTATATAGCCACATTTTGTGTATGCAATGGTAACTGTATACATGTTATCAACACTGTAATAATCGGAAGCATTGGGCAAAATCAATTCAGAGTAGTTTGGGTGTTAGCTTTGTGGAAACAAGAAAAGGATGAAACCAAGAAGTTGTATAATTCAGGTTATATTGAAAAACTTCCTTGCTCATCAACCCGTTGAATTTAAGACTCACCAGTTGATGGAATGCAGAAAGCCCACAACAAAAACCCGCTGTAAGTCACACTTCCGTCTGACGTCAACCTCAGCCACATTTCATTTGCCGAGGAGATCAGATCAGGTGCTTTTCTACCTCCGTGCCAAACGAAAAACTCGCCGATGTCAGTGTTTTCACCGTCACCAGCCCGGAAATAATCATAGTACGCTCAGTTTTAAAGCTGGAGAAGGTGACACGAACCCTACAATCCTCTTCACACTGGATGATCCAAGTCATGTTGACGTTGTTGGGATAGTTGCTTGGATAAAAAGGTGAGGTTATCAGGACACTGTTGTTTTTATTGACGATATAGACGATGCTTTCCACTGTGGGAGAGAATTTTCAGGACATTGGACAGTCAGCTTTTTCTGTGGAAAATGTATTTTCTTAATGTGGTGAAATCCATTGTCACTCGAGCACCCTCCATGTAAGTACATGGTGTAACAATTTAATTAGTTACAAATTACACCTGTGACAGATTAATGTTAACCCATGTCAAACTCAATTAACCTCAGATTATTTAGAATATTAACCATATCCAGTCTAATTTAAATGTGCGTTTGGATCCGGATGCATTTTCCCTTTTCAGTTTTTTTGAGATCAAGTGTTATGAGAGGGGCCTGAGCCATATCAATGTTTGCTTGGACTTTTTTTCTGTGTGCTTTTCATTATGGAATATTCATATTTCTGAAAAGACACAATAGCTAGAGATAGTTTTGATTGATAAATCCTTTTGAAGTTTCGATATAAACTCAATACCCTGACATTTTTTGGCAATCTGTTGAAAACGTTTTCTACACTGAGATGTATTTGGATTGAAAGAATATTGAAGTCGCAAGTTACCTGGGTTGGTGAAATTCTGTGGTGCTTCGGTTGTCCAATAATCTATTCAAGGCAAAATACGTGAGTAACGGAATCAATTAATATTTTCAACGACAATTTCATTCACGAATGGGTCTGATCATAAGGTCGAGTTGATTTTGTCGAATTTACATGGTTCTATTTGAAGTTTGCCTTAAATGCTGTTGATAGTCGCTTGTTTCTCGGAAGATGTTCCGAATGTTCCAAACTAGTTTTTCTCTTGAGCTTAATACTGGAGTGGAAACCTAAAAGTAAACTGTAATCCGTATCATTTGAGCTGTGGACTCTTGAGGATCTTCCGTGGTTAACCAATCTGTCCAGGAAAATTCAGAAAGCACTTTTATTACTTTTCAATAAGATTTACCAATAGCACATTATGTAAGTTTAACAAGCTCAAACAGAGAGAATGATGAAGTTTACCAGAAAAATCATGCCTCGAAATTCAACAACGGCCTAGATACCCATTTCCACCGTTTAAAAAGAGATTAAAGCAAAAGAATAGAATGATTAATATTTTTCAAGATTGTAGAAACGAACCTTGGTTGGTGGACTGCTGCGGTGTATCGGTTGTTTGAGAATCTGTTAAAGCAACAGAGAGTTTCCACTACGATCAGTGAGATTATATTATTAATCGGCAGATTAAACAAATCCTGGATATTTCAGAATATGAATTCCAGTCAAATACTTCTACTGGATACAGAAATGTCCAAGAAATCGATAGTCTAAATCGTTATTACAGGCACAAGCAAAAGAGAATACTTCTTCCGGTCATAATTGTCACTTTGTTTGGGCTGCAATAGATATCACCAGCAATTCAAGGAACACAGTGTCTTAAATTAACAGATGATATGTGGTTATGAACACCAATTTTAGAACCACTGCTTTTACCAATGGCACAATTGATGGTTATTCAGTATATTTGCAAATGAATGAGTTACAATAATAGCAGGAACCTTGTGCAACTGTCAATAGAGATATGGAAATAGCTTGTTAGGATAAAGAAGTTAGGAAATGTCTACAAAGGCGCTTGTTTTATTACCGCAGTAGAGTTCATCGCTCCAGTCATAGCAGTCCCAATATCCATTACACCACCAGGAACTAGGAATGGCCATCCCATCGTAACAGTAAGTCACATTTGGACTGTACGGCGTAGGTTCTGTAACAAAATTAGAGAACGTCACATATTACTTGTGGCTTTTCGCGCTGAAGAGATTTCAATCATAGCAGAAGTCACTGTGGAAATGCTCATTCCAACTTACTTCTGTAGTGCACTGTAGTAATCTTCAGATGGTTGAGAAAATTGACATTGTCAAGATTAATGTAAATCCACGTTTTGGTCCAGATGCATTTTGCATTTTCAGTTATTTTTCAAATAATTGTAAAACACGTGTCTTCAGCCATAAATGTTTAAGTTTGCGTGGTACAATTTCTTTTTTTCCCGTGTACTTTACATCATCATATTTATGTCTAAGAAAAGACACAGTCCCTAGAAGTATTTTCAATTGATAAGTCATCTGAAGTTTTAACATAAATCCATTACCCTTTAAGTAATGAAAACAAATTGTTAATGAGATATGGACTGAAAGACTATTAAAGTTGGAAAACTAACCTGGGCTGGTGAAATTCTGTGGCGCTTCGGTTGTCCAATTATCTGATAAAGCCAACAAAAGTTAGTAACAAAATCAATTCATATTTTCGACAACAATTTCATTTAGAATGGGTCTTTGCTACTCCATTGATCTCCATCACTTGAAACGACAAACAGGAATGAACAATAGATGGGCTACTGTAATAAAGCACGCTTCACAAAATATTTCGAATCAATCATCGTATCCCATTACCGCAGTAGAGTTCATCACTTCCGTCAGGGCAGTCCCAATATCCATTACACCACCAGGAAGTAGGAATAGATGTTCCATTGTAACAGTAGGTAACGTTTGGACTATACGTGGCAGGTTCTGTAACAATAGGAGAACATTATATTTTGATTTTTAAATCTAAACTGGCTTTTGGGGTTCAAGGGATTTCAATCATAAAGGAAGTCACTGTTATTCCTGAAAATGTGTATTTGAACCTACTTCTGCAGTGGATCGTAGTTAGCTTGAGATGATTGAGAAAATTAATATTGTCCTGTAATATGAAGAACACATAAGATATGAAAATGTCAAGGTATCAACGTTATTACCAAAACTGCTGCAGTTGACTTCATCACTTCCATTGATACAGTCTGTCTGATAATCACACCGCCAAGAACCATTGATGCATACAGAATGTCCACAGTCAAACTCATTTCCTCCACAAGGCGGATTGTCTGAAATAAAAAACAGTTTAATTATATACTTTATCGACACTGTGATAAGCTGAAAGGATGGGCAATACCAATACGCCATAGTGTTGGTGTTTGCTTTGTAGAAACAAGAAAAGGATGAAATCAAGAAGTTATTTAATTCAGGTTATACTGAAAAACCTCTTCACTAACGAACCTCTTGAAATATAGACTCACCCGTTGATGGAATGCATGAAGCCCACAACGAAAACCCGCTGTAAGTCACACTTCCGTCTGACGTGAATCTCAGCCACATTTGATCTCCAGAGGAGATCAGATTAGGTGCTTCTTTTCCTCCGTGCCAAACGAAAAACTCGCCGCTGGCAATATTGCCACCATCACCAGCCCGGAAATAATCATAGTTTCGCTCAGTTTTAAAGCTGGAGAAGGTGACACGAACCCTCTGTCCCTCTTCACACTGGATGATCCAAGCCCTGACGACGTTGTTGGGATAGTTGCTTGGATAGGAAGGTGAAGTTATCTCAACACTGTCGTTTCCATTGACGATATAGAAGATGCTTTCCGCTGAAGAAGAAAGTTTTCAGAAGACTTAATAATTAGGTGAGTGCACGAAATGCATCAAAATACATTCTTATGACATGCTCAAATCGACCGTCATCCATCATTATCCGTTCAACAGCTCGGTGCAACAGCGTATTTAATTACACCTACATGTATGTCAGATTCATGTTGAGCCACGTCAAGCTTTACAATACATTTAACTTAATTAAAAGGTTTACTACTTTCCAGCCTGATGGAAATCCATATTTAGGACTAAAAGCACCTGAATTTGATATCCAGAGTAAAACAAGTGTCTCAACCCATCTGAGGGTTTGGGGTTCAAGGGATTTCAATCATAAAGGAAGTCACTGTCATCCCTGAAAATGTGTATTTGAACCTGCCTCTGAAGTGGATCGTAGCTCGCTTAAGATGATTGTGAAAATTAATATTGTCCTGTAATATGAAGAACACATAAGATATGAAAATGTCAATGTATCAACGTTATTACCATGACTGCTGCAATTGACTTCATCGCTTCCATTAATACAGTCTGTCTGAGAATCACACCGCCAAGAACCATCGATGCATACAGAATGTCCACAATCAAACTCATTCCCTCCACAAATCAGATTCTCTGAAATAAAAGACAGTTGAATTATATTAGACATGTAATGGTTTGAGTCAAGTAGAATCTCCTTTGTGTCTGAGTGTACAGACAGTTTGGGGTCAGATGTTGACCTGTATAGGTACTATACAGCCATATTTTGTGTATGCAATTGTAACTGTATACATGTTATCAACACTGTAATAATCGGAAGCATTGGGCAAAATCAATACAGAGTAGTTTGGGTGTTAGCTTTGTGGAAACAAAGAAAAGGATGAAACCAAGAAGTTGTATAATTCAGGTTATATTGAAAAACTTCCTTGCTCATCAACCCGTTGAATTTAAGACTCACCAGGTGATTGAATGCAGAAAGCCCACAACGAAAACCCGCTGTAAGTCACACTTCCGTCTGACGTGAATCTCAGCCACATTTCATTTCCAGAAGAGATCAGATCAGGTGCTTGTTTAAATCCGTGCCAAACGAAAAACTGGCCGCTGGCAATATCGCCACCATCACCAGCCCGGAAATAATCATAGTTTCGCTCAGTTTTAAAGCTGGAGAAGGTGACACGAACCCTCTGTCCCTCTTCACACTGGATGATCCAAGCCCTGACGACGTTGTTGGGATAGTTGCTTGGATAGGAAGGTGAAGTTATCTCAACACTGTCGTTTCCATTGATGATGTGGACGATGTTTTCTGCAGTAAGAGAGATTTCTTAAGGTTGGACAGTCGGTTGAATGCGTACAATGTACCAAATTCCCTCAATGTTTTTCAATCGATTGCCATCAGTCGACCCGTATTCATGCAACACAGTACCACAGTTTAACATGATCGAAACTAATAGTACAGATTAATTTGAACTCATCACTTGAAACTGAATTGATCTCAGATGAGGGAGGCCAAATTTCGCCATCTCTAGTAGTAACAGTATGACTCTTGAGTCTGTTGTAAATTGTATCTACATCTATCTCTCACCTTTGAATCAATTTGGTAGAGGCATAAAACAATGGTGATTAGATCGAACGATTGAAGATCGACTTTTTTTTTTGCATTTTTGACGGGGGTAAATCCTGTTTTAGGAGAGCAAACACAATCCCGAGCAATCCTTGACTTTTATTTTATTCCATTTTGTTCCTAGTCAGATAAATAACTCTGAAATTCTTCCAAATGTTTCAAAATGCATTTACTTTTCAGGTTGAATTATATTTGTATTAAGTCTCCAAGGAAAATCACAATTCTGAAACCGACCTGGATTGGTGAACTCCTGTGGCGTTTGGGTTGCCCACCAACCTGTTATAGAAGTTTCAAGACGTTTCCAGAATTTAATCAAACTAGCATCTAATTCTACGATACTCTTTACTGGAGTAATTCGAAGAAGGCAAAATAGACGTTAATGTTATGAAAAACAGCGAGAAGATTGAGAACCAAACCAAATGTTTTTAAATTTAACCAAATTAATCGTGCTTTATTACCGCATAGTAGCTTCCATCGTTGCATTTTCAATATCCGTCACCACCAGGAATTAGGAACGTACGTGCAATCACCACAGATGAAATTGTTCCCATCATAAGTAAGGGTTTCCATGACAAATGCCGTCAACGTAAAATTTGACTCCTTTCACTGGTAGTTTATAGGCTCTTCCATTATGCTTATGGGGTTAATGTTTAAAACAAATCCAAGGGGGTAATTTGGTCTCTTTTGAAGTAATCATTTAAGATAAGATAAGGTAGTGTAACAGTCTCTTTAATTTTCCGAGAGCCAATGATTCTGTTCCACATGAGAGTTTCAGACGATAAATATTAAGATATTTCGGAACCCTTTTAATATCTTTTAGATCGATTAGAAGTCTACATTTACTCATAGATTGTAACCTGTAATCAAATGTTAAGCTAACCTGAGGTTGTGGACTCTTGTGGCGTTTCGATGGTCGACCAATCTGTCCAAATGGGTCAAAAATGATAATGTTTCTTTTCATTCAAATTTAAGGATACCATGTATTCAAGAAAAAAAGGTCAAAAAGAGAAGGGTATGAAGTTTGACTAAAAATGCCCCCAATACCCCATGAATCCATTGGAAGAGCACGTGTCGTTTAAATGTTTAAATTTCAAAACTTTTGAACTTCCAACCTTGGCTGGTGACTTCCTGAGGTGTTTCGGTCGTCCACCAACCTGTTCATAAATAGGTAAGGGATAATGTTTCATTAATTTAAGTTAGCGAGAGTGTAACTGAAATAAGAACCACCCAGGAAAATTTAATCCTTCGGGCGTACCCCCCCCCATCTCTGAGGGTTACGTTCATTGCAACTGCTGTAGAGAGCTTAATGAATGAAAAATTTGACCAGTCAACAAATTACTCAAAAAGGAGTTCCATCAATGGGATCGTTTACTTCTGGCAAATGGCGCTCTTCTGAGGCAAAAAACATCCACTGCGCCATCTGATATTAAATACATGCCAATTTTCAATCGTTTTATATATCTGCTTTAAATTTCATTTCCGCTGCTTGAAGAAGCCATTAAAATCATGTAAATGCTCAATGAAAGGGAAGTTATTGGAGTTTGTATGGAATAAACACAACTGCTATATAATTAGCGTAGGCCTATGATTTGGCCCACTACATTATGGAACGAAGTGGCAACAGACTTACTGGAAACCAAATCTGAGCAATTAGACAAGCCATGAACTTATAGAGCGACAAATGGCCAAAGGCAGAGTTTGAGTAATTGTTACTACAACAAAAGCATATAGAATCAGTAGGGGGGATTTTTGGATCGAACTCTCTCCCTGGTTGGCACTAACCAAATAATAACTATTAGAAGGTTTGACAATCGAACCTATTCTAAAAAGGGAAAGAAAAGAACTGGCTGAATGAAATTTGCTGAAGTTCTGTTGTCAATGTCGTTTTCCGTATCCATAACAAACTGACATTGGGACTAAGAACGGTTGGCAGGCTTTTTATATCAACTGACAATGGCGGGTTCTGTTATTGTATTTGTTAATTCGTGCACGTTATGGTCAAAAGCTTAACCTAGGTGAAGGTCTGCTATTTCTGTGCAGTTTCGTTAATGCATTACCTTGATGAAACTAAGAAGTGAACCATAACCTAAAAGCTGTTTTAAGTTTTCTGATACTGTCAAAAAAACACAAGTATTAAAATATGATTTTATTACAGCTATGGTTTACAGCAGAATTTGGGACATTGAATACCGCAAGATGAATATTATCAAATCGGCAGGATATGAGGAATTGATAAAGCTCTTCCAACAGCAATATGGAACTTTTAGGGCCAAGAGGACTTACGGTGGTTGAAATTAGACAAATTTTTGTCCAAAATAAAAATCACAATACATACTGTTGCAGCCTTCATTCAGATTGGTGCCTTTTTCTAGAACAGTATATAAGAAGTGAAAACTATCAAGGAGAAAATGATACGTACTGCTTCGTGTTCATTTGATTTATTTTTACAGATTCAGTGGATTGTCATCAATCGGGCAGATACGGAACCCTGTGCGCGCCCATAACCCTTTTCAAGTCTAGTCTCACATTTCATTTCGGATGGTTTTCTGTAAAGAAATTATGAACTTCTCAAATGTGGAAGTTACAATTCTAGCATGAACTTATCGAAGGCTATAAACAGTGACACATCCCGGATTTGCCGGGGGGAGCTCGGCCTCAAAAGTAAAAACAACACATTGATGTTAAGCCCCCTCCTCCGTTGCACTACAGCTTACTGGAATCTTCAGCTGCATCCGAGTTACGGTAGTATATAGCTATATATATAATTGCATATTTATCCTCGTTTTTCACAAAGTTAAAACAAATACAACTTCATGTGGGTGGGGATCGAGTCTCGAAATTGTGGCCACTTTAGGTTTGGTCACTTTTTCTTGTGATCTTATAAGTACAGTTGTTTTTGTTAATAAAACTAGACCAACAGATTAAAATGACAAATGAACTATATTTCCTCTCTCCGTAGGATACTTAGGCTCTATTTTTATTTTTTAAAACTCAAGATATTTATGCTTACTTGTCATAACTTACTAATATTATCATATAAATATACCGTACATACATTTATCACTGGCAATTAGAAGAGGCATCGTGAGTATTCCTTTTGCCTTGCTTTTATCTTTCATTCTGGGCCCTATATTATTGATTGGAACTTGACTTTATGTCAGGTAGTGAAGTGTAGACTCTCAGTCAAAAAGGTTGATCATTTCGTACAAGCTTCGTCTAGTACAGTGACACTGTCGGGCATGTTAAATCAGCTTTTTTGTATGCAAGAACATTATTTTCCTTTTAATCTCGTGCTTTATGGGAGGTGATGGAAAAACTAGCCGGGGACTAAGGGTTTGCTTGTCGACGCCGGGTATCGGATGGACTCCCCCCCCCCAAAAAAAAGAGAAAATTCTCAGGCCTATGTAGATACAAAAGTCTATATGTATCCGATCTAATAATTTAGCTCAATCGGTCAACGTTTTTCTTGGCATATGGAACTAATGAGAATATCAGCTAGGTTTCACGGGGTTTTAAATCGAGATCACAGGCAAACACCGACACCCAGAGTCAATACAAAATGGACAATAAATGAGCGGCTGTAATTTGATGATTAAATTTAATACGAACTGGCTTTTACCTGGAGGAACTTGGGTCCTTGCAGTGAAAAAGTCAGACATCATACACAAGAGAAGCGTTTGGAGCTTCGTTAGTCGCATGATGCCTCTCGTGAATATCTGCAAGATGAGTTATAGTTAATCTCTGATGTTTGTGATCATTTTTCCAGCGTTGCGTGTGTAAAGCTCAACCTCAACCGTAGCTCCACAGATCAGCAACTAGCAAGAATACCGCTTGTGGATGACTGAGGCTAGACGCCGATTGAGCAATGCCTTCCTCTCCACTATGTCACATCCAGTGAGGTTTCGTTTTCATAGAAAACATCCGCCGACGGTTTGTGCGACAACAAAAGGCCAGACGTGCTGCATAATTTTTTGGTATCATTTGATTTAACACCCTCGTGTAGATTGCCTAGGAGCGCGTCCCGGCCCCACGTTTGTTCACTGCGTTTCTATGGTGAACAGTCAACAAGAGAGGCCATCATTTTAAGTTTCTGGCTAAGGGAAATCCCCTTCTTGTTATCCCCCCCCCCCACGGGGTCATACGTTGTATTCTATTTTTTATGGGTCAAGGCTGATTAAAGGCTGAACGAGCCTGTCATTGAGATTCTCTTTATCTTGTCATGAATCCTTTTGGAGCCTAAATCGCTTTGTACAAAGTGCGGTACTGAACCTTTGGTAGCCTTACACGCATAATATAGACACCGCCGCTCTGACTTTTTTGGTGGCACATTACAGGGGGCCTAGAGGGATTGCACTTCGTGTTTTGGTTCCCTGCATGCCATGCTTGACTGAGTACCGACTGCCAGGGTTCTACGGACTGCACAGCTGTAGCCTTGGGTGTATATCACGTGGTACATGGATTGTTGTGAAAATGAATACAAGAACACTTTTAAGTTGCATACATTAAAAAAAATGAAAACCACTTTGACCGGGGCTCGGTCCATGTGTGCACTCTGCCTGGCTGGGTTTTCAGAACTAATTCTGCGCACTTGATGAGCAGCCACACTTACAGTTTCTGCAAATTCTTTTTTTTCTGAGCCAAGTTCAATAAGGGCGCCGCCAAGTGTCGGCAGTGTGGCAATGCTTAATGCGCACGCGTCGCATCGGCATTTGGCGAGACTCCCGAAGTCAGCTAGACTGTAGACGGTCGCCAGTTCGCAGCGCAGGAGTAAGTCAGTTTTCAAATTTTCTGATCAAATCTCCAAAGAGGCGGTGTATCCTTGTGCTGTGAGAAGGAGGACGCAGTGGATTGCACCTGTCTGGGAAAGGAATTCCCTCTGTTTTTGATCGACCATCAGCGGATGATTGGATCACATTGGAGCGTCGTCCTGCATCCCTCCCTGCATAATGCTGGTCCACGATGTCATGCCATGTCCATAATGTCCATGGTTCTAAAACAGGGGAACTCTACATAAACGTTTCATTGTCAGTCGTGTAGCGTGCGTCTGTGTCAACCGTTGGGTGTGTGTAAAAATTGCCACTGCAGCGTTACAGCAACTGTTCTACATGTGGTCATGCAGTTCCCATAGCTAGGCCTACATCATGTTGCCCCACTACGGCACCAGTGCTCGCTGCCGCTCCATCCTTAGCCACACATCCGTATACACAGTTTCGTGTCGGCATAAGGAAATGCTTGGCGCACCCTCTTATCATCATAAGCACAATTTCTTTCACACACACACAAATGATCCCTTGCCTCTTCGCTTTCTAAAAACAAAAACTATTTATTGAATGATTTCACTCACGTTATTCTGGTATTTTCCAGTCTTTTTGCCTTTACCCATTCAATCTCACCATGGGGGAAGGAGTCCTTCTGTGTCCTTCCTCCATGATCTCACGGTCACACTCTTTCACGCCGTCTTTAAATTAAAATTAAAACAGCCGTGTGCTGACCGAGATCAAGTGACCTATATAAAGTTCAACAGACTCATTTTAATTTAAAGATGGAATGTGAGAGTGCGACTGTGAGATTGAATGGGTAAAGGCAAAAAGGCAGGAAAATACCAGAATAACGCGAGTGAAATCATTTAATTAATGCTGGCTTTTATAAAGTGGAAAGGCCAAGGATCATTTGTGTGTGCAAAAGAAATTATGCGATTATGATGTACGATTATAAATTGGCTACGGATGGAGCATTAGCGAGGATCCATGCCACACTATTGGGCCTAGCTAGCAGGCTGTTGATGAATTGCATTCATTAAAACCTAGCAAAACGGGATAAGATGATGGCAAGGGGATGAGTAGATTTTCATTACAGGTTCATCTGACGTGACTGACCATGCTGACCGTGACTTATTGCTCACATAACAATAGCCCCACGTGCCCTACCTACCTGCTCCAGTCTTATTCCCAAAATGTGTCAGCTTGGAACTACATGTATATAAGATCTGACATGATCTTGACGTGTGAGACAGGATCGTGTCAAACACAGCTACTAACTGAGACATTATCACTGTATCATTAAGTGATTGTTTTGTTTAGGCCTATCCAACTGTCGCCAAGAGGCAAGAAGCAACCAACTGGACATGGCTGAGTTTGACCATAGTGTAGATCTTATCAGGAAGTCAGCATACTTTTATTGCTTACTCCCAAATCTAGAGATGGAGTCTGATGTGAGATGGGAGCCTACCCTTAGAGTTTACTGCCCGTTGAAGGCAGGCAGTATCGATGGCACAGACACAAGACCCCATGATAAGGCCATTGAAAGAGCCATGAAGGTACATGTATGATATTTTGTGGGAAAGAGTTCTACATCACACACCTGTATATCCCTTGACACCCTCTGCAGGAACTGCATGAGACTGAACTGAAAATGTTTGTCTGAGTAAACGCTTCTGTATTTTCCAGGCTAAATTTGACTTTTTAGTACAAGTTATGGCTTTTTGATGGCTGATAAACTGGAAGGGAAAGTACCGGTAATAGGTGGTGTCCATATGTGAAATTCTTTTCCATTTGTAGTAGCACTAAGCAGTGGGTGTTGGAAGGGTACAGGACAGAAGAACTCGGGAGGTTCCGCCATTTCTGTTAATTTTTAAAAAACTTGTTGCAAAATTGGTCAATATACATTGCACATCTCTATAATAGTGACCAATTACAGGGCAATTTTCATTTGACTAGGAAGGAAGTAGGACAAAGATAGGAGCCGTATTGGTTTTTGAAACATCACAGTTCTGGAAGTAGGTGGCAGTAACGAATGACAGGTTACAACATATGCACCTGTCTCAAAATATAACTTGCAGTGCTCGTTACCGAATATCGTTTTTGTGTTTGTTTTTCAACCACTGAAGGCCATCTACAAGCCCAATAAAGCTGTTCAGGGTGACCCGGACTGCACGCTGTTCATTGGAAGGCTTGATTCTTCAACGTCAGAGCACACTCTCAGTAAGGTAGAGTATCACATGAGTCTGGCTTTAGGCATTATGAAACATTGGTTCTCACATCCAAGAGCTTCAGATGTTGTCGTTTGTACAGTTTTATCTGAGAATAAAGTGCCAGATATCAGTCGTCCATAAATGGCAAAAGCATTGTGGTGTGGAGCTGAAGTTTAACAAAACTGTGCCCATTTACATATGTAGGTTTTTCCTGATGTAGAGCAAAGCCTGAAGCATAGTCATCTTTATAAAAATAATGAGTGATCTCGGTAGATCAGCTCAACACAAAAAGTTTTTTGATCTGTGAATTTAGTGTTGAAGTCTAGACCAGCCATAAATTGTTTCACAAGTCTCTTCACAATATAAGTCATAAATAGTTGTGTGAGCACTGTCAAAGGAAGTTTTGAGCACAGTTTATTTCAACAGTTTGTGACTTGGCTGAATATAGGATATACTCTTCAATCGACTTGACTACAACAGTGCATTGAGCCATGCATGTACTTAAATTCAAGTACATGTACGCATACAAATGATGTGCCCCATAGATTATAAACGCGCCCTCTTGTTATTTCACCTGTATGCAGTCACGTTTATTTACTTGTCACTCATCTGTCATTTATTTCAATTTTTTTTTGTAACGGGCAGATTTTCTCAAAGTACGGAGACATTGTCCATGTCCGTGTAGTACGAGACATTGTCACTGGAATGTCCAAGCGATATGCCTTCATTGAGTATAGCAAAGAGCGGTATGCCTCCAGAGCACGACGGGATGCCAACCGTTTAGCTATTGACGGCTCAGAAATTCTGGTTGAGTACGAATGTGAACGAATTCTGCCAAAGTGGATACCAAGAAGATTAGGTGAGTCTACATTTATGGTGGCACATGTATACACCCTAGAAACAGGTGTCTAATCTGTGAATGCATTAGCCCAAAACCTTAAGTTGTTTTTTTCCATCAAAACTTTTATGATGGCTGTGAAAAAAGTTGTCATTTGACAAGACCATATAAACCATAATAGCAGCTAGAGTTGACAGGTCTATTCCTCTTGCATTAAGCAAATTTGGCCTCAGAACATTGAGAACAGGCTGACATGTTGGATTACGTTGTCATGTTAACGCATTCACGTTTACGCACTCACATGGTTCAGACCATATTTTTTTACTTGTGAAGCTTTTTTTTTAAAAAAATATTTCTGACATCATCAATTCAAATCTGCGCCATCTCTCATCAATGCACTTGTGCATGTTTTACTCTCATGTGGCAGGCGTCGGTGAGGTTCCAAGTTGTTCGTGGGTATTGGTGCAAGTTTACGTTCCCCATGTCACCTCTAGTTCTACTTATAATATCTATGGACAGGACAATATCTGTTCTGAGTAGCAGTACCCTCTCATTGGCTCAGAAGGTACAGGCTGGATGGAAAGTTTGTAACCAGGACTTGCACATACCCGGGGTGCACATGCAAAGACCATATATTGTATTCATCAAATCAGAGGTGCATGGTCAGTGCATTTTACACAGTTAAAATGCACATGTGCAAGCATGATGTCTTGCCCACCAAAGCGGCGTTGTCGCTGTGTAAAAATACTGCAATATCCTATTGCCGCATGGACACAATCCTCACATTGTATAAGAAAATGTATTTTTGAAAGTGTTCCAGACTTGCAAATGTTTAGCAACATGTATTAACTTCAGTGACTGAAGTTAATAATGAATGCTAAAGAGTGCATAGCGACCTGACTCCCTTTGCCATGCTATCAACAATCTTTGCAGGTGGTGGGTTTGGTGGCAAGAAGGAGTCGGGACAGCTTCGGTTTGGAGGATCAGACAGACCATTCCGCAGGCCAATCATCATCAGCAAGCAAGATGACGGTAGTGGTAGAGGTGGGCAGCAGGACAGACATAGTGACAGATATGGTGGGGGTCATTATGACAGAGACAGGGGCAGACACAGCGGTAGTTACTATGATAGAGAAGGTGACAGACAGGGTAACAAAAGTAAAGATAGGGACAGGTATTACGATAGGCACCGGGAGAGAGACAGACACAGAGATAGAAACAGCGATAGGCACTATGATAGAAGGAAGGACAATGAGAGGGACACAGGCAGGCACAGGGAGAGAGATAGTGACAGAAATAGAGATAGATATAGTGGGAAAGGGGGGTACAGCGAGCATAGAGATCAGGTTCCTGCTCAGGAAGTTGTGATTAAAAAAGAGCCCAATACATGTTCAAGACCAGAGACCTCATCAGAAGGTTTGCCTGTAACTACTGGTAATGGTTCGCAACCTTCTATAATAAGCATCAAACAGGAAAAATTATGACACTGCTCATATAACCTGGCCATTAGATTGAAGGTTCATTCGTTGGTGTGATACTTTTTGTATATTTGTCGTCGTTTCTGTATATACACTCTCTAAAAAAGAAACTAAAGTTAAAATTGTCAACAACCTCCCAAAAGTGTGATCAAAATACAAGCCCCTTTTCATTTTCCTCTGACTGTTGTCATTTCATAATGTTATTGTTTGTATCTGTAGTGGGCAGCATTTTCAGGACTGTTTCAGTGCAAAGCTGTAGCAAATATCAGTGATAAAAGACTGATCCAAGCTAAGCAGGACAGGTACGTGTATAGTAATCATTTGAGTCATCTCAGTATACATGTATGTGTTTGAATAGTTTCTGTTCAAATAAATAAGCCTTTTGCAAGTTAAATTTGATTACAACCTAGTACATTGAGGTATCCGGTTGTACAATTATTTATTTACAAGTAATTTAGATTTGTCCCTTTTTTTAACCCGTAAGTCAGTTTTTATTATTAGTTGTGTTTTGTTGTTTTCCGTGATACCTGTAAGTGGCGGATCTCCGCTGTTGGATATCAGAATAGATAAATGAAAATAAATAAAATAAACTTTACAATTTGAAGTTCCCAAACTAAAGACACTTGTGCTATACCTTTTATCCATTGAAAACAGTGTATTGCTGCAAGGTGTATTTTATGTAACTACATGTAAGCAAAAGCTCGCCCCGAATCACGAGGTATAGCAACAGTGTCATTAGTATGGAAAATTCAAATTATTATGTTCACGTGAACTTGAAGTACGCAGTGTACCAAATTTAACTCGCAAAAGGCTTAGTGCTTAAGCCTGATGATAACAAGGAACAAAGGTAACAGGGCTTTACACGGAAAAAGCAATTTAGCTAGCAATGTAACCCACAAGGACAGCAGGCAAACTTTAGAAACGGACATTCTCCAGACTCGTTCTGGGTTGATTCACTTATTGTTTTATTTGATTTACTTTCATGAACTTAAATTTGTTCAACTTCTTACCAGAGGACTACATGTAAATAAAATTCTATAACTTAACTGAAAAATAGCTATTTGACTGTGAACACTTGGACGGAGTATTTCCATGTACAGCCATATCTGTAATCATTAAGAACACCTCCATGTTTGTCCAGAGCTTACAAATTCATTTAACAAAATGCACTGCGTTAAGATAACTCTTCATAACAAAACAATAGAAATACACAAAACAATTTATTTGTACATACATTTTGCTTTAGTTACAGTTTTATAAAAACAAAACTACAAACTACACTCTAGGCAGTCTAGAACCTGTTTTAGTCGCCTTGTTTTAACACCTGTCCCCAAAAATTTCCACCAAATTATGTAATTCCCTTGTCATTCTTTAACGTAAGCACCAGGCGACTATAAACAGTGGCATTCTCGGTTATGGATGAATTTAGTACTTTTTGTCTCTTGACATTGTTACTTGATCTTCTCATTGTCTTTGGAACACAAAAATCACACATTTGGCAAGCGTCCAAGAGTTTTGCATACTGCATTATTTTGTCAAAAGGAGCATAATAATACACACAAATGTGTATGGAAATAAGGCTCAAACTGCGTATCAAAATTAAACACATTGTCTATGAACTTCACAGCAAAATATCAACTTTCATGAAAAGGTGCAGTTTCGTACGTTTACAGTCTTTTTCTTCTGTCCATCATATGTACAGCATGACACACTCTTCGTCATGATGGGAAAAAGAGATCAGGGATTTTGTGAAATTCGCTTCAGCTTCAATATCAAAGTTTGAACGGTTACATGTTTATTGTTACTTCATTGTGTATTTGTCGAATAACAAATTCTGGATGCTTTAGAGAGTAAAGAACGTGATTCTGGAACTACAGTTTGTAGACTACACGTTTGTGCTATCTGCCATCGAAGTTCAAAATACAAATGTACATCCACTCGACAAAGAGGGCGACGTTTATTGTTTCGGTTTCCGTGACTAACCCTGTGTAATGTCCATGACTGCAAATCCCCGGATGCACAAGCCTATTTGGAGCTATGTTACTTGAGTTGTGTTGCAGTGAATGGCACGAAAAGTCTTATCGTGGGTGATACTGTAAGGAAAAGCTGGTTATTCCTAGGTGTTTTCCCTGCAGGGATCTGTTTTCAGAGGCCTACTCCCTTTTCTCTATTCTTCCTTGACCGAGCTAGGAGAAGCCATTATCGTCAGTTTCTTTCTCATTCTTTTATCTGTCACAGCTTCTTATTTCTCATTTTTGACAAAATAAAAATGGATCAGTACTGGCCGTCAGTATTGGATAGATACTGTGAAATAAATTACGAATAACACAACATGGGTGCGTTCGATTAGCTTCCCTGGATGCACCAGTGTTACACGCAACGGAAGCCTAGAAAGGAGGCTAATCGGATGCTGCAGTGTATTCACCGAGGCATTCGGGGAAAAAAGGTCAAGTCCCCGCCACGTTCCATCATATCCATGCTCGAGCAGTCCATCCGTGATGTCATTACACTCAGGCAGCCTCCAGAGACCCGCTCGCCAGCTGGGGTAGTGGTGGCTGACACCAGGGCAGACTTACACGTGTATTAAAGCTAATCCAACGCACCCAATATGGCGCAGAATTTGAAGTCGATGATTTAACCGTCCATATTAAAGACCGTGTTGATTGGTGGTAATGAGGAACCCTGTTCATTATTCTCAATAGGGGTACCATTGGGTTGATGGTTGCCATGGGAAGTGCTGTGCTGATTGGATACGATCGGTCGAATCTCCCCCGTCGTATCATGGTACATGCTGACCCCAGGCACGGGAATGTAATCACTCTGCGCGATCATATTCTCGCTGTGACGTCGAACCCCGTTGCATGATGGGGACTGAGATGAATGAGGACCTGTCCAAAATATTTCAACAGAATAACATTGAAATCATACATCACATATTGAAAAGGGCGCTGGTCGTTGAAACGTTAGAGAATGTCTTGGGACAGTCCTTGCAACTAACTTCAAGCTTTCCAGTAAAATCTGATATACATGTACATACTCCATTCAACAGGTACGACGATAAGGTTCTGATCCTGCTCTCTGGCTGTGTTCTTTAGAACTGTTATGTTGGTACAGAAACTATCCAGATCTGGATGCTTTCTGCACCGACTTCACGGTGAGAATCAGTCATTCTTCTGCATTTTAAATTTTGTCACCTGCTGGTGTAGTGTCGTTAGTAGATACTACGTCACAATTGCTTTGGTGACCAGAAACCTGGACGCGATTTCGATATTTGCCGGAAGGGGAGATAGTATAAGCCTAGGAAGTGCATCTACTATCCTAAACGTTTAGACATAAGCTGGCACTGTGTACCACATTTAGATCACAGCACGTGAAGTTATACATTGATGGAAGCGTACCTGTGGGGTCGTGGCAGCTAGCTTGACTGGCCACGCCGTACAAGTGATCATCCTTGCCGCTTCTCGTCACAGCCGGACGATCTAAAATGTTCAGCGGATCATTGATCTCGTTGAATTGCGCATGTCCTCTGTCAGGTCGCGCCCTCTGAGCATGCGTGCTGCTGATGACGGACACGTGCTCTACATCCTTGTGACCCGGATGATCATGCGTGTAAGCACCTTGAGAGTAGTATCCTGGTGAAAGAAAAAAGAGGATAATGCAACTTCCCATACTTCAAAGCGGAAGCACAGGGCAAAGCGCGTAAACCTACTGAAAAAGTGACTGTTTCAACGTTTTACATTTCAGTGTACATCTTGAGAACCTGTTCTTTTTTCTTAGCAATCTGCCAGGGTGACATTACGTTCGTTCAGTCTGATCAGGTTTTCAGTACTCTATATGAGATACGCGTACCTGGGTTTTGGTATCCGTTTGTAAAGGTGTAGGTAGATGGTATATTGCCAACCACATTGAAAGCACTGTTGCCGTGAACTGCACCCGTTGCTTGTATCACTCCGCCTTCCACGTGATGACTAGTGCCCATTGCACAGCTGCTGTAGTAACCATCATCGCGATACTGGGGATCTGCGTAGGGATATGTCGGTGCCGCGTCGGTGTCGTTCTTGGAGTGGTACGCCGCAGGTGAGTAGTTTGAATGAAACATGGCGGGCGGATAGCATCCACCCCCTTGGTAGGGCCCCAGATACCCCTGAGGTCTTCCTGACGAGTAGGGGTCTTGATTTTGACCCACGTGACCAAGGTAGGGATAAGCCCCGTGATGCATTGTTGGTGGCACGAGAGAAGACGGGTTGGCCGGATTACGAGCGTTGACGGCCACGTGACCCTGGTTGATGACTGAGTTGCGCATGGGGTTGACGACGATTGGCGAGATGGGAGGTGTAAGCATAGCATTGCTCCTTGCGGCACTCCCCGGGCTAGGCATGGAGGGCTGGGTTCCAAAGTGTCCCGGAATAGTGTAAGAATCTTTCTCGGCGATGACTGTATGTCCTGTATAAGACGCACCTGGGTAACGTTCAACATAGTCCTCCCTCTTCACGGGGGACTGGTCCGTAAAGTTTTGGTTTGGGCGAGGCATCATGTTGTTCCTATTCGCCAAAAAGCACGTGCCTGGCTGATTTGATAACGGCCTTTGTGGATTGTTCGGATCTACGAAGATCACAGAGAAGAAAAATAGACGTAAAACGTGGCCAAGGGGCCTACGACCTCTACCAGGGCTTCAAACGCCCTCTAGAGTATGACTGACAACCTTCGATTTAGTTAATAAGCATATTGTTGCGATGATATCTATTTTCTGTTTGTTTACGACCCGTCCCCCACTGTGATGGTGACTCGTTATTTTGTGATTGAAGTTACATTAGGTTGTCGTTCGATTCTGCAGATGATTTTGTAATTGTAATTTACTGAAATCTTTTTTTTACCAATATCAGCTCACAAAGGAAGAGAATTGCCAATGTGTTTACCGTTCTTACCGGCAACCTTCATGTGTTTCTCTAGTCTGTTCTGTAGATCGTTATCCTTCTCTGTGTTGAACTGTTGCTCAACAGCCAATAAGATGTACTCATCCAATAACATCCGAATAAGATGGAAAGAGGCTGAGTAATAAAAAACACAGAGCTTTCAGAATTTAGACCGTGCTTGAACCGTTTTGATTATCCAACCTCATCTTCAACTTTAATACTGTTTTTTGAGTGCAACCACGAAGTTTTCGACTTAGGCTCAGAAGCTGCGGGGTGAATAACCTTACCGAAACTCTGGGCATTGTTGAGTGTCAAGTTGTGCATGACGCGGGCACCGAAGAACGACCACTTGAGCAGGAAATCCTGGGCGCGCTTTTTCATTGATCGTCCATTCTGCTTACCAGGCTGAAACAAAAACGTACAGCCTGGTGTTATACAGTCAGAAGACTGGCAGTGAGAAGAAGTCACAACTTGGTATTAATGGCGACTGATCAGATGCATCAGACACTGCTATGGTAGCAGAACATACTTTCTCAAAGGATGGTTTGTATTGGAACTCAGTGCTATTGTCAGCCTTTTATGTTTGGAAATGGTCGATTTTTTATGGGTTTGTGTAGCTACATGTGTTTCGAAAACAGTGTTCAGAATTCATCACTCCATTTTCTGAAAAAAATGTCACATGTAGATTCGTGGTTTGCTTTCGTGTATTGTCACACCTGCTGGAGAATGGAGAAACGGAACGAATAGAGAAATGTCCTTATTGATCTCGGACAGTACTTGGACAGCGTTAAGTGAAAGCACAGCAGCAGCTCTCCTGTCAACATAATCTTTGTGGATCATGAACCTGTCAGCTTGAAGTTCAATGAGTGTTATAGCATCTGAAGGGGCTGTACAACTCCGTTTACGAGCAGTCTTATCCTGAAAGATATTACTCCGTCTAATCAAATACACCAACCTTGATGACCTTGCTTTCAACGACCTGGTCAAGCCACTCTGTGAAGGCTTCTACCGTCGCCTGCTTCTTCAGCAACTCTTTAAATTCCTTCAAGACTGCGGAATCAAAAGATAGCACACCTTATCAGGACTGGAATTTAGCGACAAGAACTGAAGCCTGAGTAATTTCTTCAAGTCTTTATAAGGCGTTACACCTTTTAGACTAACATAATTGTTTCAGATAAGGAACGGGTTTTCTTCGAAAACTTTCCTAATGAACGTTTAGCCCACACGGCCTTACAATTAGTATGCAATATCAGTGCACGAGGACTATCCGAAGCATTCTTTCCTGCACATTCGTCAAAGGTTGTAAACTTAACCAACTGACTACATCAAATATTTCAATTGTTGGCCGTGTTACTGTTCCGCACACTTCCTAGGGACGATGTGGGAACATGCCAAATCTTTGTCTTGTAGCCTGCAGAAGCACTGACCCCTATAATCAAACATTTTTCCCAACTTTCTTACATTCAGCATTTAGCTCCATGTCGGAATCCTCGGTTGTTGCCGTGAGAAGGGCCTGGGATCCAATACTGTTCAGATCCACTTTGTCAAGGTCTGAAATCATCTGATCTATCAGCTGCTGGTCGAACAACACTGGCCTGGACGTCTGTTGGCAAAAACCAAAGACTCGTAGTGGATACGACGGTATTAGACAAGAGCGGATCTGCTTACTCGCGGCTGTGGCTATCATGGGCACAACCACGCCACCACTCAAGAGCAAGAACTGTAAAATTGTTAACGCATAATCTGTATGAAGCTCCATTCCAGTAAATCTGCCTCGTGCAGAAACAACCCCTCATCGACTGAAAAGAGCCGTGTTGGTCGGAAGTATTGACCAAGGAGCTAAGAAAACAGCGCCCTTTCTTGGTCCAGCTCGAGGTGCACTACCCACAACCCCATGCGAAATCGAGAAGTTCTTGCATTAACCCTCTCTCTGTAACCTTCTACCCAAGTGATAGATTTTATGATGGTTTAATGATAGGAGGACTATGCATGAACTAATTGTCCCACCTGAGCTAAGTGTAAGAACGATGTCTGTCTTCTCAACGACTGGACAAAGCGTCTAGCCACAGGAAGCTTGGATTGGCTGACGGTGTCTGGAAGATGTTCCAACGAGGAGCACAGCCATTGCTCCCAGTGTTTGGCAAAGTTTCGGATATCAGCCAAGAGACTACAAAGAAAAATAATCAGACAATTCAAGAAGCAATGACAGGTGTTTCGTATACTTGGACAGATGGCCGTAGGCTAAACATAAATTACAGTAAGTATATAGTAGTTGCTGTCAAACTGACAAAATTCAAAATCATGAGAGGCTAAATCCTCAAGGATGGATATGTAGTTTTTAAACGTCTCAAAGTTCACTGCATGGTCAAATCCTATTGCCATACTCTTTCGTTAATGCCGAAGCCACTGGCTGTCATCTCCAACCCATAAATGGTAAAACATCTGTGCCGTCACTAGAAAAACCCACATGGTGCCAAGATACACAAAAGGAATCTCCTTGTAAGCCTTGGAATTATGGTCGTAGTTCTGAAGAATGTGGCCAAGTAGGCCCATGCACACTTAATTTCTTTATTTAGTCTGGTCACTTTAATCAGCAATCTCAAGTCCTTATCAATATCCGTTTAACACGACTTTTTTAGCACGTTACCGGTAATACTTGAACTCTTATGGCAAATGTAACTTTTAGAAGCATTTGAGCACGGCGTTTATCCATCGATAAGGTATGTTTGGACTCCTGTCGTTCCTGTGGTGATCAGGTATCAACTCACCCTTCGGGCATTTCCTGCATCGTAGCAGGTATGAGGATCTCCACCGTTGTCTTGTACAGAATGGAATCGCAGATACATATCATATCGATGATGACTGAGCTGTCTAACAGCGGCAGGAGGTGGTCTGGCATTCCTTGCCAAAAGTGTAGAAGGAAATTCTGGATCTGTTGGTAACGAGCAAACGTTATTGGTATGTCTTCCTTCCCGCTCTCTAGTTTAAGTTTTATGTTGGATTGTTCACTTGTGAAATATTGTATAGCACTCCTTGAGCATGTTCTTTTTTAACAGGGAATTAGTGCTTGAAAGGAGTCTTTGTGCTCTCGATAAGGATGGAGCTACGTGTCCATTGAGTAAACGCTGACTTATCAAGCACAAGACGAATATTCTGAAGCTGCAGGGTTCTAAGAAGTCACAAACAGTGCAATTTCAAACCCCTAATGAACCAAAATCTTTATGGATGCTGCTCAGAACGCGATTCTTTGACCACTCATAAGGCCAGGGTGATGTTGTTTTCTCAGATACAAAAATCTTAACATCCACCCCACTATCGTACAATTTTCCATACTATATAATGAGCCAGCTCAGTGTGCCAAGATCGCATGGCCAAAATGGAGCGCGTCAAACAGCAGTACGCGCGCGCATAGTCTACCCTTTCAGCAGGGCCATACGCCATTTCGCACGCCTGCTTTGTTCTCGAATGACTTAGCATTTGTTTTAGTACGGAGCTTGCTCTTTCGTGAAATTCTATAGAAGCGAACAAACAACAGCTTTTACCTCATCGAAATTGGAATTGATGATCGTATCCAAAATACACTGGCAGTGTGTCTTGTACATCATTAATAAGGTGTCCACCTGTAATTAGAGAAATAATTATGACCATTTAATGGGAGGAGTACAAAACACAACTCATTAACAGTCCTGAATCTTCGGTTTTAAGAGAATTTTACATACACCAAGGGGTACATGAAGAACAATGAAAAATTCTTTAAAAAATCAAATTAAACCAAGTTTCACTTCTTGTCGTCCTCTGAAAATTCGAAATTTTTTGGTTCATGAGAAGTCTGATACCTTTTCCTTTGGGATGTTGTACGGTAAGATCAGCGAAGCAGCGCTCGGGAACTCTGGAAGTAAGGTGCCAGTCTTTGAAGCCAAGGAATATTTCCTTGTAAAGCCTCCCTAATTCAAAAGCAACAATAAAATGAATTAAAAGCTTTGTCGCCCTTTACCCAAAAGTAAAATTATCTAATTTCTTTATTTTTGCATTGGCACTTCGTTTTGCTAGAAGTGATGATATTCTTTTGGAAGCGTTTAATACGCACTGGGGTAGATACACCAGGACACAGAAAAAACCGTGACCATCAATATTGAGGGCATTAAGAAAGTGTCAAAAAGTTTCAGGGAGGTGAGAAAAAGACAAATGGGTTTTCTCCTTATCTGGTTCACTTTGCTAGTTTGCTTCCTGGAGTCATTTATATACATCGTCTCTTATCCCTCATCATCCCGGAGAATGAGATCTTACAAAGTCTCCACTTGAGAATTTAATAAGAGAGGTGTAGGACCAGCCATTGCCGTGTCTTCGAGGGCCTTGGTCAACAGATAAATACAGACCCCGGCCGTTAGCGAAGGCGACAGGCTAAATGGCCTCAATTGCTCAGGTACATGTAAAACACGATATTGCTTACGCTGTGCATATTTGAGCTACAACAATATCGGAAACCTGCACTCGTAACCCGCCAAATTAATTTCTTGCAGTGTCTTGAGAGGGAGAGAGCGTGGTTTTACAATGCCGGGTTTATGTGCGTCGACAAAATCTTGGCAAACACCAGCGCTCCCCATCAAGAAGGGGGAAAAAACCGTCATATTTGCCAATAAAGAAATGAGCGATAGACCGTTTAGCCAAGAGTCGAGACTCTTGATTAAATTTTGCTAGCGAACCACCCAGGAATGTCCCGTCATTTTCACGCTTGTTTTGTGTAAAATCCACTTCTGCCTTGGTCCCGTCCGGGTCTGATTTATACCCTCTAGTCCCTGGCGAGCCAGCTATGGCCCATACGGATCACAAGGACTCGAAAGTCGTCAGTTTCTCTTGTGCGAAATGTTCGCGCGACGAGTGGGGGGCAATTACATGTCCAATTTAATTAAGTTAACGGTTTGATCCTTAATTAAACACAATAACTGCTCCAACTCTGCTGCATTCCTCAACTTTCTGTTTCTCTGGTGGGTTTAGTGAAGTTCACAAGGAGCTTGTTGCAACGTTCTCACCTCAATGACGTTACACGGTTCCAATACGAAGCCAAGTTTGTTGCACTTTTCTGCAATTTTCACGCGTCATCCAAATGCAAGTCGTGTTTTTATATATTGTGTTGTCTGGTTACGTTTTGTCTTTGTAGGAAGGTAGAAGAGGTTCAGCGAAAAATTGGTCCCTTAATGCATTGAGACTTTAGCGATGCAGTAAGCAACAGCAATTCGCTTTCAGTGTTCAAACATGGATGTCTGACTCCAGGATGGGAAAAGAATGGTAATTGTGCACGACAAAGACCAAATTGTGCGACACTTTCAGCCCTAAGCGGGAACAAGAGAGGGCGTTTTCTCGATTAAGCTAAAGTTATAGGCCTATTCTTACACGTTACACAAATTTGGCCCTAAAATAGGGTGACATGCTCGATTAGGCTGCCATGTTAACGCACACGTGCTTAGGCGCTCATGCGGTTCAGTCCGTAGTCTTCTACGCGCATGACTATTTTCTTAATAATTTTTTGATATCAATTCAGCTGCGCGTCACTTCTCATCATCCCAACCAGCTTTCAACAGGTAAGATAATTTCACTCCATTTGTGATATTTGCTAAATTTTTTTGCTGCCGATGAAGACCCACGGCAGTTAACTCTTCGGAACATCACTACATTTTGGCACAGAAAAGATAACAGCCTTGTGGCTTCTTCTCCTGACGTTGAGCTACCCGCTCGATAAATGTCTTTTAAACTTTGTTCATCATGGGTGCATATCCCGCTATGGGGATCATTTCTTTGCTTCCTTGAAGCAGAAGCTTTGCGGAGTCGGACGGCGAAGGCTCCCAGCCGCATCAAGCTAAAGGCTGGTCATTCATTGACTAGCCCTAATGGTCGCTGCATTTCCAAGTCAATTTAGCAGCTTAATTTAGCAATTGATACCGGCCACAGATGGACGGGGACCCACCATTTATTCACAAGTGCCCCTCAGCGCAGGCCGTGGGCCGTGTTTGTACGCTGCAGCCTAATGTCTTTTAGAGAGGGCTAATTATTAGCGGGGAAAATTTGACGCACGAATTTCCCCTCGTGTCTGTACAGTGATGGCGAGGCACACAGGAGACGTTACGGTTTATCTGCTCCGGAGCTGGCAAGAAAACTTAGCTGTCCATCACCGCCGCGTTTTCTGTTCCGTTCATTTACTGGAATAAGTACTTTCTGTTTGTTCCCTAATTCGATTGTGCCTGGTTTAATTTGAGAAAGTTCAAAGACTTTGTTCGATTACCTTCGCAGTGTGGCGTCGATTGCCTGAATGGAATAAAGATTCCAGGGAATAGGTTTATCTTTCCTCTTCAAGAAATCAATCGTAAGCTGGAGTTCTTTCGCGAAATTAATCTTCGTAGGGAAGTGAATGTGAGGGATGCAGTTGGAAAGATTTCAAACTCATGACGGTTGTGAACCGCTTATCAAATTCTGTCGTTCCTGCTGTGCCTATATGCCTATAAACCCCGCTTATCCTTAAGTCCTTAAAGTAGGAAGCCTTATAAGCATTTAATCTCTTTGGCGCTCGCTTTTCATATGAGGAGGATGTATCTGCTCCAAGCAGGAACAAAAGAGGGCGCGTTTTTAAACGCAAATTAGCGTCCATTGGTACGAACTTACCGCGTAGGTGAGCAAGTTTATGCGCGTTTGCCGCAGGGAACGACGAGTACACGCAACGAATTTACACTGGAATGTATGGTCTTCGCTTATGCGCAAAACGCGTGCAGGAGCCCGGTTAGAAAACTTTTCTCCAGCCTGTTTTTCTTTCGCCGGTGAGGGTGCACTTTAACTCAGGGCGGAGAGACGCCATTCTTGCAGGGCCCTCACACTCACGTGCACTTGCGCGCGCTCACACACCTTGGCAAGTCACGACACCGTGTGGGTCGGAGAGGAACGTAACGCGCACGTACCACCTGCTTGCGAACAAAATAGCCCCGCAGTAATGGCTTCTAATTCCTTTCACCGGAGTTGTGCGTCCAGTATGTCCATTGTATTGTACTCAGTCTGTTTTTGCATGCCACACTACTCCAAAAGTGCCAACATTACAATACACCTACAACAAAATCTTAAATGGCCTATAATGTTCTAATGGCATATTCCCTGGACTGTATACCCAATCCCACTTGGAAGGCGTCCATTAATAGAAGATCTTTAATTTCAGGCAAGATTGCTGCTACATTTGATACAGAAATGCTGGATTGTTCTTGAATCAAGTATGAATTCGTAGACTGGTTTATTATTCCAACTGCGCTAGTTTCTCAATTGCAGATTGAAACATAGATGCATAACATAATAAGCATATTGACACAAATATTCCATTGTGCTGTGCTCGTATATTGGAGACTGTTTAACAATAAAATCCCGTGGCGATTGACATTCCTGTCGGTGTAGATTGAATGCTGTCAGTCTTTGGACTCGATGTGTGTGTCAGATCTAAGTGCAAGTAATGAAAAGCCGCCAGTGCACCATGAACGCTGATAGCGGTGGTGACGAGGCGAGGTCCGGATGACGAACGGTCTTATCTGCCCTTCGTGACGATTGTGCGGCACGATGTATTCACTGGCGCACAACACAAACTACCTCAAAATATTGACTCTCTCTCTCTCTCTCTCTTTGGACTGAGTCAGTTTGAGCTAGGTCGATAAATAACGGCCATGAATAAGGAGTGAGGCTGGGTATATATACATCCTCGGCCACTAGGGTCAGCTTGATGCAAACTCAGGGATCCTGATTATGAGCACAATGGAACTTTATATACAATCGAGACCGATAGCCCAAATTCGGAGGTCTAAAAGCGTAGGAGTTGAAGCAAGGTACATGAGAATGTTGAGATGTTTTCAAGTAAAGTTTTACCCGTATCGATTAAAATGACGAATACATTTGTACGATTTATACCAACTATTATATTAATTCAGTAAGCCTCTCGAAAAGAATGAATCATATCTAAATTTAGTAAGGAAGCAACAGGTTTTAACAGTTATGTGGCATATTTGGTCCTGGCAAAACGTAGACATGCCAAAGTTTAACGTTTACAATTGCACTGCCCAGTGTATCCCGTATCACAACCTAAAGACATCCATTTTATTAATAACTTATCCATTGAGAAATAAAACCCAACATCTAAACAGGCAACTGCATTTACACCTTCACAAACAGAGCTTTAACTCAGGTTGCTGTCGTGCTGTTATTTCTGAAACGCAACGCTATGAATATTGTCAGAAATCATTAGTTTACTTAAGCAATCCGAGAATAGTAGGTGTTATCGCCAGAACAGTCACGTCGGCAACCTCTTGACACGCTTTGCAACCAGACTTTCGACGACTGTTCTTTGCGAACCAGGGAAAAGCCTCACCAATGTGCAAATGGCTGGTAGGCGTAGCTTCCATTGAAATCAATGATTGCCATGTTTTGAACGTACAACTTGGAATATAATATACGTTTACACCTGATATAAGACAACCAAGTTGATGTTTTTTTGGCATTTGAAAGTTATTTTGACTGAAACCTTATTTGAAGCATTTTAAGCAAAGATCCTAACGGCAAACAGAGTTGTCCATTTCAACGCACATGTCTTGTTACACATTGCATGTAGGCCTACGGCGGAATAATTCGTATGACTGTCTGCATACAGCGAAACAAGTGGAAAGGGGAGAGTGAGATCCTTGTCCATATTCAAAGTGAGGCACTTTATTAACAAAGTTGGAATTTCGATGTGGTTATGAATTCAAGCAGTTTTGAAAAATAAAACTGTTCGTCCATTGGTGTTACCGTTGAGCAGAGAACCTCAACGGTGCCTTATACATCTATGTTAGCAGTGTTGTCCTATCGTCAGCCCAATTCTTTCACAACCTCAGTTACATATGCAGTGACCGGATGCAACACAAAAATGGTACACATTGGTGGCAGCGGTGGGAATTATAGTAGGTACGCTGTCAAAAACATTAAAATGACTCCTGACACTTTTGGTTCCGAGGGGTGGGCGCAGAAATGACGGGATTACCAAGCAATTGGCAATCTGTTCCCAAAAGGTCGGGGCGCATCGGAGGTATATAAGTTGCCAGATGTCTGGTTCAAACGTCTAGGCACCACTTTTCTTCATGGCTATACCCCAGAAACAACTCCAAACGAAGTAGAAGTGTTTAATGGGACTGCAGATGCTGTCGATATACAGCAACAGCCGTCGGATGGGGGAGATTACCATTTCGCGTCCAGAAAGTGCAAAAGTACTGTTTGTATTTTGAAACTGTCAATCACGTTCTGCTTGCCGTCTTTGTTAGCCCGTGTTTACCGTTTGTGACATTGTCAAAAATTGGCGGCAAAGTCAACATACTTTAGTACGCATGGGTAAATTTGAGGAGAAGGGTTGGTCCGGCAGCCGAGCCACTTGATAAATTTTTATAAAACGGTCCCTGTGTAATGTGCGCCCTGATTGTGGAGCAGAAATGGGTTGCGAAATATAATAACTTGCAATTATAAACCGCTAATGGGCCGTGAACATTTGGCAGACTGCTCATCAACTTTTAACTTGGTTAAAAGCGGGAATGTACGCGGGAACCGAAAGAGTCAGACGGTGTCATATTTATCAGCATATTCAATGACTGACATGCAATCGGGTCCGAGTTAAGTATTCTGCACTTTAGGTGTCTTTTTCCTCATGACCTAATCAACTCTTGATTAAGTGCACCAAATAGGTACAGTCGCAGAGCAGCAGAAAATGGTGAAAACTGGATGTAAGTGTGGAGAAATTTTTCAGCCCAGAAGACTACTGTAACTAAAAAATAGTGAAGCCATGATGTGTTTCTTTTTCTGGTTATGTAATAGGTCGTAAAATGGAAGCTGTGCAGAAGCTTCTGCCAATGTCATTCAACAAACGATGTGAAAAATACAGGCTCAGAACTGCTGAGTAATGGACAGCAAGGATGCCTTTAAATAAGAAAAAGAAAAAGATATCATTCACGCCACCATAGTCCTTTGCTACTGGTGTCTAACTGTAAAGTGAATTTAAACTTCATTCAAAATTGAGGCAGTCATTTGTTTGATATGTCCCGCACTAGTTCTAAGTAACGCTACTTGTAAGCATTTCGACTTATTTCATTCAATGTTTAATGTTAAAAACATGACCTCAGAGTTTGTAAATGTAATTCTGTACTTCTGCAGAAAGTTTGCAATCTTCCATTTTGTTTTGCCTTGATGACTACATAATGGGATTCAAATTACTAACTTTCGTTTTGTGTTTCAGAGCTAATACCAGTAGAAACCCATTGTTATGATAAATTTGATTGTATTCGTAATGTTAATTTCTTCCCCGACAACATTCATTTGTATTTTGGTCATTTTGGTTGTTCCAAATTTGAGAAGGGCGTTAGTTCGATGTATCTGAGGGAAAATATATTTTTTTGCTGTAATTGCTGCAAGGGGACAAAAAGACAAAGTTTTTCCAACACTGTAGAGGCGTGACATCATTGATAACGATAAATTGACATAAGAATGTATGCTATTGTGGAAAGATTTTAATTGTTTGAATTACGCTGCTGTACGGTTTTCTGTTGAGGCTGTTCTTGAAATGACATAATTATGGAATCGCGACATCATTTGTGAGGCAATATGCACCTCCGTTGATTGGTTGAAAACACTCATATGACGACGTGGGTCTGTCGACGGTTTGACAAGTAGTAAAGTCTCCCTGGTGTAGCTGGACGTAGTTTTAGCTACCGCGGAAGGTGTAGCAGTGGAGAGGAGAGCCTCTGTCGTTGGGGGTAGCCGTGTCTCAACTCACTTGGTCCCTGGCAACGACGCCGAGCAACGGCCCAAAAGGCAGTGGGTAGCCTCGCTGACTCCTGGAAAGGCGTTGTGGATCGGCCAATTCAGTCACACGTCACCCGGCTGGGAATTGGATACAGGATTCCCGGATACTGGGAAAGAGTTGAGATGGACTCGAAGAGATCGGGGCAACTCTGGCCACTCCAGCGACACTGATACACGGTTTTTGGTGGTTGAGCTTGGGTATAGTGACATAGACTGCCGTATTGAGCCGAGGGTACCTGGTAACCCATGATGGAACAAGGAAGACAGGGAATGCCAGACGTGGTCAAGGGATACAGGCGGATTACAGTGGCTCGGCGTGTTCAGACAGTCATAACAATCTTGTTGCATCGTCACTGGTCAGGCATTCGCGGAAGCCGCGGATTGAATTAAATACTTTCTCTAGACAATCACGACATTGCAAACCGTAACTGGTGATTAGGACGTTCAAGAGGTCCTTTTGTAATTACTACCTATCACGCACCACACCATTAACTTCATCTGTTTTTCAGTTCTTGGTTTTTATAAGTTTCCGAACTCGGCTGTCTAAATAAAAATGGCTATGACCATGTAATGAGTGGAGGTTCATGTTGCTTTGACAGAGAGTTGGTGTAAGCACTTAATATTAATACCAAGAGACAGGCAAATGTATAAAATACTCCATTAGGCCTACAAAATAGAATTCATGCTTCAAAATGTATGGAATCACGTGATGATAATTATGAGTAGCACTGCCAATATACAGCAGGGGTAATCTGTACTTACGCGCTTTCAAGTACAGTTGGAAACTATTAAAGTTCTAAAGTGACAGTTTTAGATTTTGAAGCAGAAAGTAAACTTACGGCGTTTATTCAATTAGAAAACAGAACGTAAGGCCCGGAAACAATTTCTGAGACGTTTGAAGGTTTTTCCGTCACGATTAACCGGTGTTAGCTTGTAGACTGACCCCAAACGTCACAAATTTAGCACTTACCTCATTGTTCAGTCTGGCCCCGGAGAACCTGTACGTTGAAAGCAAAGATAACAATGAAAACGTTAACCGTAATTAGGATCTCTATATTTATCAAATATTCTAGATATTTTCAGACAATCCAGCTACCAGATGTAGAACCCATTAAAGCCTATTTACACACGTAACAAAAAGCGGTAATGTGGTGCGATATTTTACGGTTACACAGGAGCGGAAACCCGTTGGGTAGTTATGTTAATGGCATTCCACAACAAAGAGTTAGCAGCCAGACCATGAGGTTATAACTATCAAGAAGGCTGATTTGTCAGAACACGCTGCTCAGCAGTATCTTGGAAAAAATAGTTTTCTAAACGGTTTATCAAGGGACCAAATAGTGTGTCCGCTATCAGTGTAAACAGCCAAATAGAAAACCACGTGTTCTATAGTTTAATCGCGCGAAATTCCGTTACCTCAGACGTGTACTAAAAGAGTACCGAAGTGAATACGTCACAGGCACAATTTTGTGTGTAAAAGGCATGAAGGCGAAAACCAGCGCGTGAACCAACACGCGCGCGTACTCCATTCGTTTGCACTGCACTGTCTGGCTCACAATGACGTCACACTTCGGTACTCTATAGGCCTTTACTGCCCAGGCACGTAGGTTGTACGCGTGCGTTGATTTACCCTTCAGTTAATACAGTGTTGTACTGCTTGCGCGCTCAAGTTAAAAACCGCGTGCGTTAAATGCGGTGCCGCCACTACCATGGCGCCCTTTCGGAAAGGTCTACCCTTCCTTACATTCGTTACGCACGTCATTAGCTATCAAGTAATTTCTTTTTAATTAACACACGTAAAATCCACTGTTATCCTCTCTCATCTTTATGAAATTGACCCCAAATTCAAAATCAAAGGCAAGTGGCATTATTCATTTGTGTCATTTTCATGGTTTGTAAACACCCTAGGAATCCCTGTGGAGAGGACGCGACTTTCTGATATTTTGGCCTTTATTGAACGACCTGCCAACCTATTATTTTCAGAACTGGTGTAATTTGTTGATTTTTTTGTAGCAAATGCATCGAGAAATCTATAGCAAAGACCCATATGCGCTGTTTTTGAATTCAAGGACATCATTTTGTGATGTTTTGGCCTGTTCCTTTCCGCAAAGGTCACGACATATTTGAAAAATTTGAAGTAATGTCTTTGTTGTTTTGATATTTGATGTCAATATCACCCCCACTGCGAGGGGGACTGGTTTTTCTCTTTGCTTGGACCCACCGTCACAAACTCTACATAAATTTACCCCTTATCGTAGAGTCAATATTTGTCTCGGCCGCTCGAACCCATCTCAGATTTCAAATAAGCCGATTACACCATCTTTTGGGTATTTGCTCAATCAAGCAATGCCGTATCATTTATCATCATATATGGATGCCCCTTTGCCAGTGCTTCGGGAACCCGCCGTGGGATTTTTATCAGTGTGATTTATCGGGTGGGCAGCACGAGTCGATTCTAACGGGTATCTCCTCGTCCGCATTTTTATCGGAAAACCTTCGGCTGATTGCATGCATCACTCGGTCTATTCACGCACAAAAGTCCTCAATCCCGGTCTAGTTATTGTGCTAGGAGGAAAAGTACAATAGGGTTTTTCTGATTTATACCTTTGGTTGAAACTATAGGTTCGGAAACGCCTGACTCATCTGTGACCGGATACGATAAATTGAAATGTAGAGTGCGTGTTGATTCCGTGCTTTGCTTTTCTGGGTATTATTGTGATTGATGTGGAGTGCTTCAGTGCAGTGACTTGCGTGACATTACCAATGATGAAGACGTATCCGAAAATTTCGTGAGAGAGAACTTACGCACACTTTGCCTGTGTTGGGCCTGTGGCGATAGTGCGCCGAGCTACAAGCGCTGCATTGCACACGGCACCAAAGTTCCCTTACATAATGAGAAATAAAAGACATTAGGCCTACAAGCTTTAACCATTCTTTGCTTTAACAAGCCCAAGGGATAATCCTGCGTACCTTGTCAGGCCTTTGCCAGAGTAGACAGAATGGTAATACGCGCTCGTCTCCTTTATACCGATGCCGTAATAATGGTATCTGGGGGAGAAAACAGAGGCTACAATGAAATAATTCATTCTAAAGAACTGGATAACTATGTAGATTTGAGTGAATTTGGCCAAACTGGTGGTCTCAAATCACAACAACCATAATTATTCTAATTATTCTGTTATTTCTGAAGAAAATGTATAATGTAACTGTAATTTTGATGTAACAGAAAAACACGTGTGGTTTTTGATAGTCCATCTTTGTTTCCCAACACTACAGTGAAATACACGAAGTACCCCTGAGAAAAAAAGACAGAACAATTATCAATAAATATAAATATAAAAATAGATAAATTATATGTTATTGAGCGCATTTAAACATCATTTTGATTTGGTATTCGGACAGAACTGAAAAAAATGGAGCTGTCGCCATTAATTTTGACGTTCATTCTGAACGCCCTCAGCGACCAGCCGCCGAGTAGTATTAACACGAATTTCCATGGCTACATACAAGTGCTCTTTATTAGCGAATCAATATGCGAATTACAGGCAATCCACAAAACATCGTGTTCACAGTGTACCGCGTGAGAATCAACAGCCTAATTGTAACTGCACTGGAATGTGTAATGCCCGGAAAACCTGAACTCGTAGTGGCTCACCGCTGGACATTTACGGAAGTTTTACGGAAGTTTAGCTTAAGAAATTTTGTAATCTAGCAAACATGTAGGATACAAATACCTCCAGTCAAATATCAACGTCGCAAAATAATAAAATTATTTTACTTGCTGGTTAAATTAAAGAGATAAAGACTAATTCTGCTTGATACCAGTATCATATTCAAACTCAGTACGATAAGGTATTTGTTCTGGAAGTCACATTTGTGCTTTTTGGGGGGTTGCACGAGGACTGTCGGACTTCACAATGTTGGCGGTGATAATGTAGGTCTGCATAAGCAGGGTAGAACATATGTAAACTGTTTTACAGTTGTGTATCTAAATGCAGTCATTGCTGCACGAAACACAAATTAACGGAAACAAATATTAACTGACTAAATTTAACTGACATAGTTCAACAAAAATTAACCGTATAGATTGACAAAGCAGAGCCAAAAAGTACCTTTCTCGTGGCATTCAAATTGAATTTAAGCGCAACAATATTTTGTCTCGAAATGCGATCTTAATAACTATACATTGCAATTAAACACGAGCGATTTCTTTTTATTAAGAAAGTATTATTTTAAAGACATGCTAGAACCGCTAGTGGGCTGGCTTGTGTGTGTTTAAGGTTTAAAGTGACGGTCGGGATGACTGATGGGTAAGTAATTGTTGTCAAGGGGCGGAGGGAGGTTGGAGGCTGAGACGATGCGTCTGTCTCGAGTCAGAACCAAGCACTAGCGAGGAGTTAACGATTAAAGAATAGGAAGGCATTCGCTCAGCCACAACACAAAATGCCCCAAAGATTGGTTTATAAGTAACCCCGATGCCAAATACCATTGTAAAAGCCTGTAATAATTTGGCATTAGCATATAGTAAGTGCAAACCATTGTCCAGAAGATAAGGTATTTTCAATCTAGGTCAATTTAATGGATATTCTTCGTGTCCGCTATATGGAATGAAGCTTCGTTCCTATTTTTTCATTCCACGGACATTACCAGAATGCATATTAAATGAGCTTTTCTCATTGCCACAAGTGCACCAATTAATAAACAGTAATTCGCATAAACTACAGCTTCTGGTACTAATTCTGGTACCAGACAAATAGCGCCATCACGTATTTTTCTAAAAATATTTGGGCCAACTTAACAGTCGAAAGATTTAAGGTACCAAGTGTGAAGGCCATTCTCATAGAGTTACAGATGTAACATCAGTCGTGTGTAGTGTTGAAACGTTGAAAAACCGCGAGGCTTAATTGTTAACGGCACTGTGATTTGACTTGAGGAAAAATATTTAAAACTATACGAATATTTCATGGAGCTTGAAAATCAGCAGTTGGTTCTGAAATAAAATACCGCATCAGTCTACATGTCATCGTCGTGTAGTGCAGGCCCGTAATGTAATAATTACAAGTCAATGCATCTTGTTTGGTATCACTGGAATCTGTCAAAAAACCACAATTCTCTTTCATTTAAAAAAAACGATAGCTCACATCTGTTGTGTCGTGTATGGGAAAGCATGGTGTCAGCTTTGGGGAACAATATTCACAAATATTTAAAAATGCTGAACAGGATAAACTGAAAACTGCCCCAAATACCAAGCAAAACGGACCAGTTCAGCCTTTCAAAAATAGGCATAAACGAACAAAAATCAGACCCTGAGAACACTTGTAGATGCTTTATGTTCTAATGTACTTGAATTAATCAAAGAGGTAGGACCTAAATTACAAAGAGTAACTAAGAAAAGGAGAAATTCTTTTCTTTAATTTAGTGTCGTGGAGCATTTTGCTTGGGAATTTTTTCCCCGGATGCAGTTGCATGGTCTAAATCCAAACATCTATTATCCATTTGCTCTTGGTGCCGCGGAAGTACGGGACAGATCCCCTGTTCTTTACACAGCCGTCCAACATGCAATAAACGTCGGCCCCCGTTGCAGCTCCGCTGCTGACGGCTAATATGCCGTAATGGTTCCGCTAAACGGGGGACCCCATGTCGTTTATCACAGCCCAGCAGTAAACAGGGCGAAATGATGATGTCGTGCCCGCTGAAAAAGGGGGACGGTATAAATGCCTGCCATACCACGGCGTATTGTTTCATGTTCGATGTGAAATCGTTGTGGTTTTGAACTCGTTCTGGTTTCTTTCTAACACTGTATACACAATATCATGTTTCAGACTCATGGTCGTTACTCGTAAAGCTTCTGTTAAGGTGCAATATTTCCAGGCAGTAATGCTGTATTGCTTAGTAAACAATAAAGCCAGACATAATCATGTTCTAAATTTAGTTGTAAGCTTGATTTATAGTCTGCTGTTTATTGTACAGGATTCATCATTATTCCATCAATGCAATCCAAAATGGGAGAGAAAGAAAGCTGAATATCAATTACCTACTTATATGAAGCTCCGATGAGATAAATTACACTTTGATGACCACAGGTACGACAAAGCTACAGAGGCATAGGCCTAGCTGTTCAAGGATCGCCAATACTAATAAAAAATGTATTCGGATGATTCTTGGAATCAAAGAGGACATATAAAATGCATCCAGCCGCATGGAACATTCAGAGAAACAATTTGTGAAATTTTTAGTCATTGGTTCAGAGTTTATTTGAGGAAAGCTTAGTACGTCACGTCACCAGGACAGTGTTGGTAACACGATGCTCATGCACCAAGCAAGTTCCGGATATACCGAGCCACAGCGCGCACCGCCCGCGGATGGTGGCCGTTCTCCGCGCTCGTGTGCAAGGCCCGCTCGGTCAAAGTTCGGCCGAATCATCAATGACGAGCCAGATGATGAATGGCTTACAAACAACATATTTGGCGATAGCCATTAAAATGGATATGAAGCATCACCATGGGCCTAGATACAGCCAGCAGGTTTGCCCAAATGGCTCAGGTCACTTGTAAGAATAATTCATTACCTCTCAAGCACTTTTAAATTAGACTTTGTCAAACATTAAGTATACGCACTCAAGTCATCTATAACTGTTATTTCAGTGTTTGGTCTGGAATAACTCACGTAGAATAATGACATAAAATAAGTTCATATGACATGATATATAATAAGACCTCTGCACATGATTCACTTGAAGGAATAATTCTGTGTAATTTAAGAATAAGGTCCCTTTTTATTGACTTTTCGGGTACCATACCATATCATCTGTGGTGAAAGCAGCGTTATAGAAGGGTTCTCATTAATTTCTTATTCCATGCAGGTGCGCCACAATGTACACATGTACCAGTATCTGAAAATATCATTTCATCAGACAACAAGACATTGGACAGGACATTTTGGAAGGGGTACAGTCATCGGGGAAGAAAGACAAAAATATGGAAGGGCTGCGTAGCACTGTGATCAGAATATCGACAAGAATATAATATCCAATCAGTGCGCTGGCAATCAGATAGTTCAGAACACTGATTTGGTATTATATTCTTGTCGACATTAAGACAAAAATATGTCTGTAGTATTTTTTGCTCGCATAGAATACTTTCTAGAAGGTATCAGTACACGATACACTCTTTCGAAATTTTTGTCTCTTGCTGCAGCTACTTTTGAGCTTGTCCTTAACGTAGGTTTTGTCAAATCACTGATTTTGTTGAGTTTTTTCTTTTGATAATAGTTCGCTCACAATTTCTGTTTGAGATCAAAGTAATGACAATGATGAGAACGACAGCTTGGGGGAGAACCTATCGACCTGTGATCCTGTCGTGCTATTTCCGGTGAATCTAATTTCAATTCATCATTCTGCAGGAAAGACCCCATGCACAGCGTGTTGTAGCAATCTGGGTTGGGTCTCTTCTCATCATAGGCTGAGCCGGTTATTGTGGTTCGTGACCAGCTGGATAGCGTGGCGTGCTCTTCGTGGTGTTTCATGTCCTTGTAGACTGTGTACCGGATACCAGTCTCGTACTCGATACCCCATGTCTCCATTTGTGGCACACAGATTAATGGCTGCAAAGTCCCCCGTACAAAGAACGCGGGATCGAGGAGTGTAATCACCACACGCATAACTGCCTTAGGTAAGCAATTAGGCAGCTGAACGAAACATTTCGTATAGCGCATTCACTACAGTAAAACTCCCGGGGAGTCACATTGCTTAGTGTGACCCCTGCAAGGGGTCGGCACGCATGCGTGTTAGATAATACTACATTCAGAGAATCGTCATATTTTTATAATGATAACAACGTAGACACGCATTTCCTGGTTTAAAGTGTTTCTCACATTCAGCTGCCCATTCATTAGTTTACAAGCAAGTAGGACTACCTCATAAGGAGGCTTCATTCGAATAGATGAATGGTGTGATATAATTGGATATATGGATAGAAAGCATACATACTTGGAATGTCCACGGGTCCCGAGGCGTCTGGTGGTCAGGTGTGGAAATTTCTGCCGAATTGTCTGGAAGAAAGTCACGAGAATCTCTGATTTAGCTGAGAAAGTACAAGCCTGTTATTAGTTTGAGATGGTTTATTTGCAACTTTTTTAATGAAGAAAGTCCATAAGTAAACCTTTAAACGGTTCAATTCCTAATTCCTAATTCCTGGTAAGAAACAACACTCTGATCAAATAAACATTAATATAACTACAAAGATTGAATGTTGAATAGTGTTTTGTTCAAACATAACTACTCAAAGAAGAACAAGTCAAATATCCCAAGGCATTTTAGATGAATCTTTGTTATTGTAAAAGTAATACTGTGTTGTAAAATTAAAGGATAGGTGCATCGTAAAAACAAGAATAATGTGACGCTATATTTCACGTGAAATGTAGCATAATCCTTTGTTTTCCATTAAAACGTGGTGACAGCTTCATGGGACTCATTGTGCTAGTCATGCGTGACATGGCCATGCTGCATCATGTTTACACAATCTCAATGATGACGCAAATGGAGGCCAGCAAATAACGTTAGCCGCTATATCTGGCTCTGACATGGCAGCAACAAACACCGATGAAGCTACACCACCAATGATCCTGATAGCACCACATTACACCGTGATTACACCAAGGATAATCCTGTAACACCACGATAACGACCCTTAGCCTGCCTGTTACAAGACGTCATGGGGCCCGCAGAATCTATTTGCACATCTGTTTTTGGTACTATATTCAGCTTGCATTGTAACTGATATATCACTTTAGCGTAGGTTTGTATAGCAGCCTCATTAGGTTGTGTACGGAAGAGCCTAAAAGACTTCGCCTTTGTTGCACCGCGCTGTTTGCTCGCGAGCATTAGACATTTCCCCTAATGATGCTGCGTATCTTTTTTGACACGATATCAGCTTAACATAGAGGAATGACTTAAAGTCTTGTAACGGGACCATATACTGATAAAACTGCCCCTGTGTGTCTGCCATAGGTATAAGTTTGTTGTTACTGTGATCGGTGTATGTAGATTCACAAAGAATAAGATTCAACAAGTTACTGTCTGACGTCACTTGAATTTGGTGGAGGGATTGCAGTGACTAACCACACACAACAAAATACTCGAACTTCAAAAACCGTTCGTGTGAGACATATTGTAAATCCCATCTTAAAAATAAAGTAATGCCTTAACAGGGAAGTGTCCATCATCTCACCGTGCCATTATCGGTGTTTTCTTCGAAATGAGACAAACTGAGAATAACCATCCACAAGTGGTATGTTATGGCATCTCTACGTTGCTTGTGGTGTTAATCAAGTTTACTGATGAGCTAGCTGCTTAATGATTCCACGAAACGCAGTACCAGCAGAAATGCATGTTTTACAATCCTGATGTTCTGGCTCATCTTAAGGTGGTACATTGACGAAGTCGTATCATTTTTGGCTTTAAACTTTTAAAAGAATGTTTTTATTGTTGAAAAGAATAACAACATCGTTCCATCCCTGTGCTACATAGAGTTAACGTCAATGGAAACAGTCTACCAAAATTAGTCTACAATACAGAAAACTCTTCAATCAAAGCAATGGAGTTGTTATCAGAATAAATATAGAGTTGTACGAGGACGTGCCACCGTATGTTGATTTGTAAAATATTTTGCCTTTAAAAGTAACTCTGTGCAGTTTGAAATGTTTCAACATATTGTAGTACAGCTTTGCGTTGACGAAACATCATAGTGTGTACAAGGCCACACTTAACCACAGACAAATTTAGTCTTCTCGTCAAATCATGCCATAAATGCCCCGCTTCTGAAGCAGATGGTATACCATTGTTTCCTGCCCATAAAACAGTGATAACAGTGAGTGTGTTACGTAACGCTTTGCCGTTTTATACATACACCGAGCCTCTGGCCACGTTGTCTTAATGAGCAAATTGGGCAAAGCCTATAGGTTAATGACAAAAAGTTTGGTAAAGTGTCAGACATTTACCGCCAACTTCAAAAAAAAATTGCAAAGTTAATTTTATCTTCCCAATTGGCACCCGCATAATTTGAGTTTATATAGGGCCTTTCAACGTTTCCATAGTAAGAAAGACTGTCCCAATATAAGTCTTTATAGTCAGCTAGAATAGATAGCTTTTTTACCTAAAATGTGATTTAATTCAAACAGTTTCATTCAATTTTTAATCTCATTAATTCCACGAAAAAGCATCTTCCATGTTAACCTCCATAAACAAAACATTTTAGTTGTGAAATCGTAAGCAGAAATTAATAAACACCAAGCAAGGTTTACCACGCATACAATCGAGGCAGGGCTACCACTAACCGATTCAAGTTGATTGAAACCACGTGTCACCGTGATGTATTAGCTTCGATCCCCTCAGGGTAGACATAAAAGAAGACGGGGAGAGGTTCAAAACCTTAAAATGGATGAGTGTCAATTTGCAGCGCCCAGGTCGCGTTGCCATTAGCATGGTGCCTTACCTTGCCGAAAGTTGCAGCACATGCCGGTTCCAGGCTCTCTTTCCGACAGAAGTCCAGGTAATGAGCGTAGAGAATGCAGCGAGGAAGACACACCCCTTCACACATACAATAGTTCTCCTCCAACCTAGCATAGGACGAAAAGAAAATGAAAGTGACGAATAACACTTTACGCAAAGAATTATCATTAAATATGATGTAAAAGTCGCAACTGTTCAGCTGCCTTTACTTTGAAAGTTCAAAACATAAGCTTCAAATCCACTCCTTCCTACTTTGCCTCAAAAGTATACCAGCGTGCCTGAATTTATAAATAAGAGGAAACGAATTGTAAAACACTGTCTTTGTTTTTCTCTGCGGGACTGTTATGCAGCATGTGGTTGGTGAGTTATACACCAACTCATATCCCCTCTCTCCTTAGGTGTTTTCTCTTTTCATTTGTTGAGACTTGATTCGACGCACTAACAAGCAAGTGGATGTGCGTTTTTGTGGAATGGTAGTGTGACTGAATCACGTTTGCATTCTGCCAATAAGTCTGGCTTTTCTGCGTCCAGGAACCACACCGTGTCAGCGAGTCCTTCATGGGCTGTCCTCCCCTTTAAGCGGCAATTATATCGTCGTCATTGATCTTACCATTGGAGCGTGAGCGATGTCTGTTTCTTCTTGTCCTTCATCATTTGTGCCACGGATCGCTTCGGTTGACTGCAGGATGTACTCTCTCGCTCGCTTTTCCTTTCCTTTGTCTCGTCTTCGTCTTCATCCTCGTCCTCCTCAGATTCATCCGATGGAAACGTCTCACCGTCATCCTCCGTGAGGATAGGAGTGAGCTCTGTTAACAGGAGTGGGCGGTAAAAGCTTAGCCAAGATGGCCAAAGTGTTTTTTTTCCAAAGTTGCTTTCATACGTATGTGAAATTGTTCCTTTCCACTTTTTTTAGCAGATGTAATCAAAATATTTAAGCCACAGATTGGAATTCTAGTTTCGACATTCAGACCTCAGTTGCTGCATTACAAGCCAGTGTAGAAAATAGTATTTTCTCGTGTAAACTCATTTTGGTTTCTGTTAGTGTGGAAGCAAGGTTGTAAACATTGTCTTTCTTTTCCACAATAAACAAGCCAAAGAAAAAGACCTAAATTTTCTTTAAGCGCTTTGCCATGCATTTTGGCATTTTGAAATACGTTCATCGATACGTTTTGATTTATAGAAATGAAAAAATTGATCATTGGTACAAAGTGTCAAATCACACAAGGACTATATTGTCCCCGAAGTACAATGATTTCACTGACTTTCAAGTGTCTTAGTTCAGGGACATTTGAAAACCGTCGTTTATAATCAGCATTGCTCCCAAGGCAGTCTTAAGGTTACATGACGATCCAACGCTGACATAGACGTTTGAAATTGGGCTGCTTAAAGTCTGCAAACCGAATTTTCACTATTCTGATTGACTATGATGCCAACTACACCATTCCGTTTCTGTGAACAATGACTACGCCCCATCCACGGCCTCCCTCGAAACCATCTCCAGTCAGGCCTACCAGCTGTCTACAGTAACTCCAGGCTGGAAGCCTGCCAGCCTTACTGGGCAATATTCATGTTGTGCTTCCGACCGCTTTTGACAAACATTACACCTTCTTTTTTATATGTCTGTTTTACAGGTGAGGCGACCAAACACTCTTATCACGAGCTGCCAGGAATGGGAATCGTGTGGCAAGCGAGAGTAAACAAAAAAATACTGAATGGTTGTATTCTAACGGTCTCAAAGGTCTAGCTGGTAATGTACTCAACGTCCTACCACACTTCTATCTACAATGAACGACAATTACTGTGCCATTAAGTTCTCGGTTTAATGCAGATGGAACCGAATCGACCATGGAGTGGAAATAAAGGTAATATACTCCTAATATCAAAACAAAAAGGAGTATTTCATTTCATCGATCTAAAAATAAATTAAGCATGCACCATGTGATTGTTGTTTAAGATCATTTTGTTGCTTTTTGTGATACCTTTCAAGACGAAACATTCAATAACAAATGAAGAAGTTGACTCTTTTCTGCAAATACAACAGTGATTGTCGCATTGTATCCTTTCTGAATATCTTTGTTTCCAGGTTCTGATATAAGAAATTTGGATACTTCACTCTACAAATTGAAGCACATTAACAGAACCCGGATATACCGTATCGAGAAGTTTTTACCCAAGATGTTCTTGCTGTCATCGCACTAATATTTATTTATTTATAATTTAGTATTTATATTTTATTATTTAATTTATTTATTTATATCTGGCACATTTAGGGTGAAGTGATAATTTAGAAGACAATGAAGAAATTTTCAGTTTTAGGGGTGGGAGGAAAGCCCTTGGTGCATATTCCAGGGACTGAAAACTGAATCCAGATGCTAACCTAGGTGAGATTCGAACCTGCGTCAAAGAGGTGGAAGGCGAGGAAAGAGCCACTACACCAACCTGACTCCCAGTAATCTGGCTAATCTTAGTCTATACATTTACCCCGAAGTGTCCCATCTTTATGTGTGTTAAGGTATGCCATTTCCTTTTATTCGTTTTTTAATAAACTTGAAAAGATGTGTCATATTTTTCATTTATCCATTGAAGCAGTACTAAAGTATTACCTACGACCTTTTTTACGCTTTTAACAAAGGCAGAATTACTTAAGTTAATGTTCAGTGTATTGAATTGAATCAAACAACACGAAAATAACAGCGACACGTGCGTTACAGCCAGGCAGGTATGTACATTGCAAATAATATCACTCACGATGATGGACAATTGGCGTCATCATCACTTCCGTTGTTGTTAATTAAAATGCGCAACGTCTTCAAGCCGTCTCTTTCGCGACTTTTCAAAAAATCTTGTTGATCAGTTGGACGTTCACCCAAAACGAACTTAATGAGATACCCAAAAATATTTGAATTCCATCTTATCAATAAAGCATTCCATATTTCTCAGAAATGTTTCATGAGTGATCACTTTTGGCGCTAGTCGACAATTTTCAAGGACTCTGGAGACAAAAGTCTTTCTACCTCTCTGCATGAGAGGTAGATTTTTGTTTAAGTATTTATCTTAGGAAGCAATTGTCGAACCACAAAGATAAGCTTGACAGTATAAATTTAGGAGATACCTTTAAGTTCCAATAAAAATGTTTTTTCAAATCTATCACACAGGCGTTACTCAATAAAAGACAGCCATTAAGTGCCATTCTTAAGAACTGTCTGTATACACAAGGTCAGGGTGTGCTTGCTAGTATTAAACAGAAATGTAATCTATTCAAGTTATGCACTGTAATATCAAAAATTATCATGCTATGTCTAGTGTCGGACTTGCTTTTCTGTTGAAGTCAGGGGAACTGTTACAACCAGTAAACTGAACTGGACAAATGGGTAGAGAGACTAGATCTTTTATCCTTTCATTTAGGTTGTGTAATTCGCATAGGTTCGTGTTATATTTACCTAGCTTTGTCAGCTTGCAGTCTTCCTCCGTGCGAGCAGTCTTCTTGGCTGGTTCAGCGTGATTACGGCTGATGACACTGACCGTCCGTTTGACCGGAGCCCCCGCGTGAGACTCCACGTTGCGCACTGGTGACGCTGTCCTACCGTTCAGCTTCATGTTGATGTGAAGTGCCCGGACCTTCTTCGCTTCTGGAAATTCTTTGAATTTGTTTCTGTGTTCTTAAACGATTGTTCGATTTTAAATGTGTAATTTAATTTGGCTTATGTAAATTTGAAAGATTTGACGATATGTCTATTCTATGTTAAGAGTGCACGCAGGCTGTACAAACGTTTCCGTTCATGTGAGCAAATATCTAGTATCTTGCTGTTTTCAGTTCGCCTCAGCAAATCTTTTCTTTTTCAGGTATAAAACTATGTATAATGCAGCTTGTCTAATGACGTTTGTCTTCAAATATGGGAAGTAACGTCTGAATATAGAGCAAACGGCGTTTCTTGGAAGGCTCTGGTGCAGAAAAAGGTCCGAGTGGAAAGAACGTAGACATCAAACGTGATTGGCTCCAAGTTGAGCAATGTTTGGAGTGCCTGAAGCTGAAGACTTTCCCCGCTTGGGGTCGAACAAGCTACCTTGCAAGGCTTGAACAGACGGCTGCACGATATCAAATAGCCTTGATACCTTTGCACGGCAGCCTTTATCTTCCTTCTCCAAACTTGCCAAACTTGAGTTCAAAGTCAGTATATAGTTGTGGTGATGTCCAACTTGCTGTCTTTTGGAACTTCTGTGCGTAGAGCGGTCGGTCTCGGCAAACGATTGGAAAGGTGAGGTGAGAGCAAAATCTTCTTCCCTTGGCGACTGAAAGAAAAAGGCCTATCGGGTTCCATGCGTGTGATATTTCAGAAAGGTAGCAATTCTGATGTGTTCCCCCCTCGCGTGCTTGCACGTCTGTCTATCTCAGTGCAGTTTGTCGGAGCTTATAAAGTGCAATCTCCTTTACTTAGCCAGCGACTATTGCCCCAAACCAAACCGTGTCCGACTGTACACACTGCACTCTCACAGCGATAGAGCCGGGATGGACTTTGAACGCGTTTAAGAGAGGGGAACGCACACAAACGCTCCAAACATCTATAAACATCTCCACCATTCAGCAAGTGCACAAAACAATAGGAGGTGGTCTAAATGGGCGATTTCGTCGTAGCGCCGCAAGATCGACCGCTATGTAGCTGTTCAAAGAGAAAAAGAGGAGTAAATGAAACCTTCCGGACTAATAACCCCTATTGCCTAGTCCTCCTTGTAGTCAATAGGAAGCCATATTATAATTAGCATTGGGATCAGTTAAGGACCGGCCAAGCTCTCTTGTGCCGAATTCTTTTGAGCATGACAGCCCCCAATGACATAAAAACCAACAAACAAACGGGGCGAGATTGCGGAGCGCCGGCCAATGACAGGCGCTGATTATTCCCCGCGATTTTAATAAATAACCGCGCCACTTGAAAAATAGTTACTCAGTGGCGAACTGGACGGTTAAAGTTTAACAGGGAGCTGGGCAAAAGAGGTGATAGGGGCTTGCCGGAGACAAACAAACAATATGACTGTCTTCATCTCGATCTGTGTCCGAGTGAAGCTTCCCTTGTTTGAATATCAGTTACAAGAATCACAGTCGGGACCGAATGGGCCTGCAGACATTGCATGCAGAAGGTGCAAGGATGGCTAGAAAAAAATGTGTTAATAGTGACGGTGGGGACAGTTAAGTTCGTTTCTAGTTTTTTTAAGCATTCCCGATAAGACCATCGTCATTCAGTTGACGGCATATTTAGATTCGTTCTCTTTAATCGGCCGCTGCCAACACGTTGATATTCAACAGTAGCCTATCAAGAAAACCCCTCACTTCGTCATGTGTGTTCCCTTGCTTGTCCTTTTTGTGACTTTATGAGAGGCTACGATTGACGTTGTAACATCTGAGAGAAGTTCACCTGATAAAAGAGAGTCACCGAAGGAAAATACGCCAACCTGCGATTTCTCCAAGATCTGGGCGGGGTTTTACCAACTATTCAGTCTCTCGTATGGGTGAAAGGTATTGTGAAGCATGAAATTCTCATCATGTTAAACTGATTGGCATGAAGTAAGACTATGATTCCAGAATTTTGAATTTGAAATCTGTCAGTTTGTTACTTTGCAGTAGTTGTTCAACTGAACATTGATTAAGAATTACTACAGCCTGGCATTGTTGGATTGATGTTATGGAATACAAACCATTGTTATTCGCTGCCTTAAATTGTCACCGTATCACTTCATTGTTGACATGGGTTGCCACGTTGACCTGTTCTTGCAATGCATGTGTCTTTAGCTTTTGAGGGAAATGCTTCCCTCCTCACAACAGGGGTTTGCTTGCTTGCTTGTACCTGTCCGTAAAGGTAAAGAGAACCCGACTGTCGAACATCTGAACTGGCCTGGACGTCGTCTGCGACCAGCACGCCCCAATCCGAAGCTGGTCTGCTGGCTTTGGTGTAAAGACTCTTCTTTCGAACTGTACGTAAAGGATGATGCTCGAGACACTGCCATTCGTCATGAATGCATACCGCGTACCGAGGGTACCTGGGAGGGAATGCCATTTGTACCCATAAAAATTTACGTTAGACTGTTTTGAAATTGAATATCAATAAACATCTTAAGTGGGATGACCACAGCTACTGAAAATTACGTGGTTTGTGAAATCGAGAAAAGTTACCGGAAAAAGTTTGCAGAAGCTAACTTCCATGGCCTTATTTTTTCGGACTTACCTTGGAAAGTCAATTTCGCTGCCAATATTTCATGACGTCAAATTCGTTTCTCTCACGCTCACAGTATGAATTGGCGTTTATAAACTGTACGGTGCGCCGAATCCAATGTTTGTATGTCCCGGCTGTGGAATACGAAAACTGTTTGAGTGGCAAAACGTATTTAAATGCCAAACTCTGAATGGGCAACCGATTCTGTGAGCTGTTATTGTACTAACCCCTTCAACCTGTTGGTAACATCTGCTTCTGATGAGGAAAATATACTTTGGCCGACGACTGGGAGAAAGCAAAGCAGTGAATCCAAAATCGCCTCTTAACGAATGGACAATGATTGACATCGATATGAAGACACATTTAAAAAGCCAGTGCAACCTGTTTATTCCGAACTTCCACACATAACTTTCGTTGATATATTTACGATGCCGTACACAAAATAGCATATAATACAAATACAAATATATATCCCATCTCACGTGATATTATATCGTCACATGTGATTATATATTACAAACTTTGCTCTAATATAGAATTTCAAATTTTGCCCACTCGTCTCAAAAATCAATGACATTATGCGAGGCCACGTAATTTCAGGATCTAACGGGACCAGGCTATGATCATTTCTTTTTGTAGACCTGTTGCATACATCAGCCGTCTTTGAGGTGTATTTATTTTTAGATAGTTAACATCGAATGCACAAAATACGAATAAATGACGGGAAAATACACACATCACAGTATACGCTCGTTTTCCTACAATCCCTTTGGTACCGGTACATTTTACATTGAACCGAGGGTCCTCATACGTTTTGATACAAAGTAACTGTTCAGAATGTATTCTCTAGCGTCAAAGCCCGAGAGGCTCGCCTTGTAGAACTATTTTTGCATCATAACCTCTTCTGCCGCTACTGTTGGAGTTAGGATATTAAGTTATGAAGCTTCATTTTTGAAAAAGAAACCTACCTTTACAGTTTCCATCGCTTCAGGAAGGTGATCGAGCAGTTTCTCTTTAATGGAAAAAATAACTACATCTTCTGGTTTACCTTTTGAAACATTTATCCACTCAATCTAAATCCATGTTATTCAAATACCCTTTTCGTAGAAATTAAGAAATATCGAAAATATATTCTCAGTGGAGCAGAAAAACGTCCAAAACACTAGAAACCCAACAATAGAAATGTATCACAGCCACCGTCGCACGCTCGCTAAGCACTTGTTGAATAATAATATATTACACTTTAGTGGCTTGTCTAAATTAAAACACTTCAGCATAACTTCATCGTATCATTGTTACCACAGCAAGATATTTGTCATAATTCACGTAGGTCCTTACACTTTTCACCTGTTAATACTCGTCTTCCCTTTAACTTTTTATTTGAACTCCATTATGATAGTTGATTACGTTTGATTATTAGGAAGATAAAGTATAAGTAGTGTTAGTTATCTGCGTACGGATCTCGATGGTTACCATACATCAGTCATAGCTACGTGTCCCCGAAAACATGGACACTGAATTGGTTTTCTCTTTCAGTCAATTCAACATGGTTGTGAGAAATGGGAAGAAGAAGGGTAAACACAGATATAAGAAGTGCGATGCCGGAACAAGACTTGCAGCAGAGCGACTGTAACTAAATGTTTGAGGCTGTCCCTGTTGTGTCTCTGGGGCGACTTCCAAAATACCAGCAATCTTGATCAAGGAAAGGATGACGTCACTAGAAATGGGTGGAGCTCTGGTATTAATCATGGTAGCCAGGTCACTTAGCTGGTTCAAGCACTCCCAGTTCTTTTGAAAATTGAACGGAAACAGACGTAAATTGTTTTGCAAATCTGGCAATGGCAAATGAAACAACGCCCTCTGATGATAGGACAAACAAATGAAATACGCCCTCTTGCAACAAGGCAAAGGATAAGTTAGGACAAGTCGTTGTCGCCCTAAGATAGTTGTTGTTGCTGTCTTTGTTGTGGCCAGTGCTGCCGTTAAGTATGGGCTCCACAGACGCTTCAGAAAATGTTACATTATACGTTTACAAAATGAAATTGTTCCGCAGACATTTCGTGCGAAACCATTTTTGCAACTGACGCCAAGACCTGATCTAATTTTGCATTTGGATAGCGCCCTCTTTCGCCTTACGTTGACACATGATGCAAAGGCGTCTGCTACTAGACCAGAGGCGTTTTGTGTAATATACGTCTACGATTTGAGGTCATGCACGTGCATATTGACACGGCCTTCAATTATATTTACGGTTTAGATGCACCGACATCTACAATTTGAATTAAGTCCTTGCTGCAGTGCCAAAAAGCTCACACGCAGGTTGTACGCGCGCGTTACATGCCGTCTTTGACGACTGGAGTGCAACGACTCATTGTCAAAACGTACGCGCCTCAACGCACGAAGTGTGGTGCCACCTTTATAATGTCATCTCCTGGCATTATTGTTTAAAGATTACCTGTCTGTGCTCCGAATGAGCGCTGATGACGATGGTTCCATTGAAATCGGTACCATTGACAGAGTATTTATTGACAGCTGCCAGTTTACAAGGGTTCTGGGAGAAATGAAGAGAAAAACACACGAAGTGCATAAGAAATGAATGCACATTTCTTCATATTCTTCTGGGAATACTCCTGTTTTTAAGAAGAAAAGATAAACTTACGCGCATGAAAACTCCCGATAGTGCACTTTGTAGTTTCGATACAAAGCTTTGGGAAGTTATCGAAACGTGTAGTTGACGACGTATGACCTCATATTCCATAACACTGTATCCAATCATCATTGCAGGCTTATCAACTGCAAAAAAATAACAAAAACTCACATTTTTGAAGGACTGGATTTGGAGACATCCCTTTGATGAATTGTTCTTATCAGTTGGCTTTACAGACCGTTTGACTTTATTTTCTTTTCTGAAATCTTGTCCACAGT